GACATATTTGCACACTCTTTTGGCACCCATTTTTCAGCCGGTGAACTGAAGGAGAGGCATGATCGAGCGGAGAGGCCGGTCTGCTTCGATCCGCACCGGAGTCACATGACAAACGCGTGAATTTGCCGGCTGAATTCTGGGTGACAAGCGAAACGTGTGAATAGGCGAGTCGCACGACTTGGTTGTACGGTTGTACAGCTAATCAGATTGCAGATAAACGGAATGGGCAAAATAATTAGCCAGAGGAGAGTCCCCATCCATTCGTTATTGATGGATCGCTTAATTTTCATGGTTTGTACATGGTACTTTCGTTCTAAAAACAGCAAGGAAAGCGTCTAAATTTAAATGGAATACTTTGGGGATTGTATAATTGATGGCCCTTGTTCTCTATATATTTATGGCCCATTATCAACGGCACTCGAAGATAAAGCCCGGAGTGTATTGGCATTAATAAAAGTGTACGGCAGTTTCCGCCCGATCAGACAAAAGCCGGGACTCGAGAAATCGGGAAAACCAACCGGGCGATAAGCCAATGCAGCTGGTACAAAGGTGCGAAAAAGGTTTCCCGACTAGCTAATCGTAAATAACATAGATTACTCCGATGTCTAGACAATAAATATAGGCAGTGGGTTAATTATACCCCTACACAAATATTCACCTATAAAATTCAGCTTGTCGGTGGCGAGATTACAAAAGTCGGGATCATCCACATCGAAGATGATGCCATCCTCCCACTCGGTGACAATGTGCGATGACGAAACGGAAACGGAAGTGGAGGAGGAGCCTCCCACCAAGGAGTTGTTTCCGCTGCCGGAAATGCAGATGTTGTTGTTGTTGCTGCTGCTGCTGCTGGCGGAGATGTGGTTGTTGTTGCTGCCCGTTTTCATCTGTATGAAAGAAAGAAGAAACGCAATTAAAAAAGGGTTTGGAAAATGAGTACATATGTACGTGCTGGTATGCAAATAGCAAAGTACACACGTGGCTCAAAGTGCAATTTATGTTGATTGGCCAGGTTAATGGGGAAAAGTGCTGATAAATCGGTTAAAAAGGGGGGAGGGGGTTCTGCAACACAGCTGTTGCATTCTCACACTCACACACACACACACCTCTTGCAACATCCTATTAAAATGAACTGGCAAAATCAATAGATGCAAAATGCATTTTATTTAGGTGAAGGCTTTATGTACGTATGTGTATTGTATATATATACGATTGCATTCGCCTAATGTTGTTATTTTTGTTATTGCCTTTGCCTTTGCAAATTTTGTTTGGCCCCGTTTGCATGTGTGTTTGTATCAAAAGACCTCAAATCGGATTTACCTGTATTACCCATTGATTTTACTCACCTTTATACAGTGCCAGCACCTTCAGTTGACCAGCAAAAAGTTGATTCTCCAAATCGTAGCCCCCACAGCCGGATTTTAAGTTAAATTTGGATAAAATTGCTGCAAAACAAAACTTTGCTTGCCAAATCGCTGGCAACTAGAGGTGGCCAGCTATCGATTGTTGTAGTTGGCAACAATTATCGGTTGGATAAAATACGTTGGGCATTTGAAATGATGAGGTTAATTATTTTGAAACTAAAATTAATCAGGAAAGTGTGTTTAATAAAAATTAATAAATTTAGTAGTTAAATATCTCTAGTTTAGATAAATATTTAGATATTTTAAATCGTAAAACAAATATATTATAGCACAATATATATAGCACTTATTTATGTTTTAAACTTTTGTTATTTGTTTATTGATTTTTTTAACTCTCCGTTTTCCTTTTAAAAAAAGTAAATTTAATTTGCAAATTTAAATTGCAAAAGTAACTGAAGTCTCGTAACCATTTGCCTTCTCTAACATTCCCCGTGCTAAACGTAAGCGCCTCCCATCCTCACGAACGTAACCACCTCCCGTCTCTTAAAACGTAACCAAAATTCGATCAAAATAAATTTGGAATATCACAAAAATCCTAATTCGCACCTGAAATATAAAGAAAATGCACCTTTCTGACCGCCTTCAGCTGAAGAGAGTGCACTAAGGCAGCATTTGTAATCGGAATCGTTGTTATCGGCCAAAAGCGGAGTCATGGAGGAGAATATGTGGTAAATAGTAAACATGGGGTTGGGGCTACGTCAACAACTGAGGTTAGTCAGCCTAGGGAGCCTCTCCTCGGAGATTCAGCATCCATTCAGTTGGGAAAACTGGGTAGTAGCCTTGGCATTTCTCGAACAGACGACCATTTGTTTCGGTGATTGAGTCAGCAGTTGAGTGGAGCAGGGTGGTCAGCGGGTAGGTAGGTAGGTAGGTAGTGAGTGTGGGTGCTCCGCCTTATCAGCAGCTGGCTATTTAGACACGTTGACGTCGCCTTCTACCCGCTGTTTGCATATGTACATGACTAAAACAACTCTCTTTTCTCTATAGGATCATTGAGCTGGAGTCGGCGCTCCTGGACGACTGCAATGTGAATGACGTATACAGCATTTGCCAGGGCAAAGCTCTTCCAGAAGCACTGCGTCCGGATGTGTGGCAGGTGTGCCTGGATGTGCGCCACAAATCGGATCAGATGTCTCTGTTCAACGAGATCTACGACCTGCCCTTCCAGAGCCAACTGCGCGAGGATTGCCAGCGGCATGTGGATCGCATGGGCAACGATGAGGAGGACAAGGTCTCGGTGGTCTCCGATCTTGAGTCCATCATCACGTTCTACTGCAAGAACCGGAATCTACAGTATGAGCCGGATAACGGATGGATTGAGCTGCTGCTACCGCTGTTCGCCTTGAAACTGAACCGATCGGATACGTTTAACCTGTTCGAATCCATTAGGGACACCTATATACCCAAGGGCTGTCGACCCAAGGGCAATGTCTTCCACGTCTTCCGGCTGCTGCTGCTCTACCACGATCCGGAGCTCTGCACCCTGCTGGACACGAAGAAGATCACCCCGGATCTCTACTCGCTGACCTGGTTCCAGTCACTCTTCGCCTCCTGCAGCAGCCTGTCGGTGATCATCGCCATGTGGGACCTGTACTTCCAGAACGCCGACCCCTTCATGGTCTTCTTCCTGGCGCTGATCATCCTGATCAACGGCAGGGAGCAGATCCTGCAGATGCGCAGCTCGTCCAAGGAGGAGATCATCAAGTTCCTGGGCCTGATGCCGTGCGCTTTGGAATTCGATGATGTCCCCGACTTTTGCTCCCTGGCTCAATACTATGCGCTAAAGACGCCCACATCTTTTAAGACAGACTATCTGAAGGCGCTGTATGGCAAGCAGAATGATACGCCGCGCAGCCAGGAGGAGGCCAACAAGGTGTCGCAGGCTTTGTGCCTGCCCGTTTCGGTTTACGAGCTGGTGGAGACCTCGGCCACAGAGTTTCCCGTGCCGGATGCCGTGCGCTTCTTTCTCGTCGACTGCCGACCGGCTGAGCAGTACAACGCCGGTCATTTGTCCACGGCATTCCATCTGGACTGCAATTTGATGCTCCAGGAACCGGTCGCCTTCGCCACCGCCGTCCAGGGCTTGCTGACCGCCCAGCGGCAAGCCATCGAGGCCAATTCGAATGCTGGCGGCGAGCATCTGTGCTTCATGGGCAGCGGTCGCGTCGAAGAGGACCAGTACACGCACATGGTGGTGGCCTCATTCCTGCAGAAGAACACCCACTACGTGTCGCTGCTGACCGGCGGCTATGCCTCCATCCACGACTACTTTGGCGACCACATGGCCGACTGCCTGGAGGATCACAATGTGCGCAAGTGCCTCGTCTGCCAGCAGCACAACGTTCAGCAGGTTAAATTACATTTACTTTAAATAGAATCATTTATTTATTCTTATTTATTTATTCTACAGACAAAAACAGTGCCGCTGAAGACAACGACGCCCTCCTCTACAGACCTTTTCAGCAAGTTCTCCGCCGCCATGAAGTCAAAGTCGGCGGAGGTCAAGGGCAAACTCCTCGACATCATAGTCAATCCCAGTGCTAATGGCGGAGCCTCGGCCAGCGGCTCTAATGGTGCCCAAGCGGCGCCGGCCCAGGAACGGCATGTGAGTGCCAAGGAGAGGAATGGCAAGCGGTACCGCAATGTGGCTCCCGTTTTTAGCATTGACGATGAGAACGAAGACGCCTTGGATGGAGCGGGCGAGCGAGAGGATGACCAACCGCTGGCCGGCGATGGCAAGGAGATCGTGAATCTGAACCAGTACTTCAAGACGGCCGACATAATCAACGCCTTCAAGTGCCAGGAGGTGCACATGAGCGGCTACATGTACGACAGTCACCTGATCATCACGCCCGGCCAACTGGTGGTGCTGCGGGAGCTGGGACGCGGTCAGGCGCAGATAATGGTGCGTCGCCCGCTGGCCAGCATCGTGAAGATCACGGCCAAGAAGCGACACCGCGACCTGATCACCTTCAAGTACGGATTCCCCGATGGCGACGGCCTGCTCATCACGGACATGGACCGCTTCCTAATCCCCAATGCCGCCGAGGCAACGGCCCTTGTCTCGCGGCACATAATGAAGGTGCTGGACAACGCCAAGTAGGATAGACGGATCATACATGCTTTTCTTGTTTCCCCTTCCCGCATAAAGCTTTATTTCATATACACAATCAAACACGGACAGAAACTGATGCAAAATCAGAGAGACACAAAGTGCAATGCGCTGATGAGAGCGCTGTAACTTAGTTTGTAATTGGCAATGTTTTCCTTGTAGTAGCTGACAAATTGTAGTTCTTATTGTAAACGATGGCCTAGCTGCAATTGTAAAATAGAGCACTCGATGAAGAGTCCGGAAATGGAGAAAATAGTGGAACATAGTCCCCGATCACATCGCCAGCATGCCCTGCCCTTGGCCCCGATTTTCTAAATTTCCAAGTGCAATGAAAGGAAACCTTAACTGAAGCCTTGAGACTTACAACGTGTAAATGAAGAGAGTAACTAATATTTATTGCAATTAAACCAAACAAATAAACCTGTATTATAATCGATACAATTAGTAGTTTAGAAAACCTCGCTCCATTTATGGATTCGCGGTTTTGGAAAGGAAATTAACATACAATTTTTAGGATATTTCATTCAACTTAACTACGAATCCTGGCACTGGAATCCTGGTGCGCTGATGGCGATAAAAACAGGCAACACCAAGGAGAATTATAATAATTCCGGCTGCTCCGATGATATATGGAAATATAATGGTTTCCGGTTTCTCTTGATCCGCCGTGAGTTTTATTATGGCGTTGCGAAGTTCGTTTATGGATGCGGAAATATTGTCTTTATCTAAAGTTTCGTTTGGGGTCTGTAGTGATGCATAGGATTGATTGGAATGTGTCCATTTCCGCACACTTCCTTGGAGATTTACAGATGTACCAAGAACTCTGCAGTCGCTTCGAATCCTTAAGATACCAGTGCCCTTTATTTTCAGTTCCAGTTGATATTCGGAGCAGATGGTCTGTAAAGAGAGATCCTTGGTGACAGTCCCTATCCAAGAATTTGGTGCTAGAAGTGGTGTCCATATGGAGTTCCGCATAATAAGATGAGAAGTGCAGGTCTTGGAGGTTTGATTTTCTATCAGAGCAACCGCGCAAGGCAGATCTTTAAAATCATTTATTTGAGAGATTTCATCCGGTTCGCAAATTATTGTATTGCTATTCAGCTTCAAGCAGTCATCCAAGTTTTGAAGGTTAAAATACATTTTCAATTTGCCATATATTCCCACGTATGGACTCTCAATATCCAAAATCTCGATTGTGCCATTTGGATGCACTTTGGGAATGGGCGTCAAATGAAAGAGGTTAAATTTTGTATCAACCCTTGATGGCATTGTATATTCAAACAGAATATACCTATCAAATTGTCCAACTTTTACAGATGCACTACGAATGAAATCAAAAATTGTGTAGTTTCTGTCAATAAGTAACTTCTTTATAGATTGAATGGTTATATAGGATGGACACATGGTATTATTGCGGGCGCAAGCAACTTCGCGGACAAGGAGTTCCTTTTGCCGTTCTAAATCTGTAGCCACCCTCGCGATATTCCACGTAAATAAATAACTTTTGGATGCTTCAATATTTTTCAACATATCATTTAGAATGTCTTTAACAGGTTGATAAAGGTGTGAAGAAAGATGCCTTGGAATACGTTGATTAATAAAATATTAGATTAATTAGGAACTGTTCCTCAAATTTAGACTTTAACTTACTTTACATCCACTTCTTCTACAGTATCCAAAGATTTGATGGTGTCACGAAACTCTGTCAGATCTGGATTGAATGGTTTTGGGCATTCACTTTGATAGTACTTATGGCAAAAATCTTGCAGATATTTGTAGTCTGTTTCCAATGATTGAACATTTACAAGGACACGCATGACAAGGTCGCCAGTTTTGATTACCACTTGACCTTTGGGTTCAATGAAGGACCCAAGATTGTTATTGAATTTAGTAAAAGACACGAGGTTTTCACTTTTATTGATTATGGGACTTTTTGTAGAATGTAAGGAGCTGAGATTGCATAAGATTAGAAACAGAAAAAAACACTTCATTTTGAATCTCATTGTTTCGAACTGATCACTTCCAAAGCTCTTTTTATACTGAAAGGAACGGGCAGTTTTTTGCTGGATGAAGTGCAGATTCAAGCTGACCTAGCATCTTCTGGAGATATATTTGTGTACTTATATACATTGCCGAGTGCATTAGAGAAATATGCGCATCCTAGCAGATTTAGAATGCGTCTCTCTGTTCAGATTTCAAAGTTTATATTTCGTTTATTTATCTGCTTCAAGACATCTTATAAAACTGCGCAGCCATTGCTTTGGCTAAGAATATTTCTTAGTAAACTATCAAGGCCTTACGTTTATTTTTCAAAAATTAGTCGATAGGAAGTTTTATAAAGAAAGTAAAGAAATTTAATTGTAAAAGAAGTTGTATAAATAAAATCAAATATTAAAGTATTTTTAAATGAATAAAGATTGTTTCATTATCTGATTTTTATGACATATTTACATCTTTTAAATTTCTTGTTTTTCCAGCAGTGGAAGATTACTGGTTCTGATTTCATTGCCTGAGTCTTGGATATCGCTGACTGGATTTTGTGGCCCTGACCCTTGGACTTGTCTTCTACGATGGGCAAGATATAGCCAGGTAAGCGAAATTAATAGGGCGATCAGCACAATTACTGGGCACACAACCACGACGGTGATTGGATAATCCCCGACAGCTTCAAGATTTTCCTGATACACCTTCAACTGAGTTACGATCTCAAGTAGATGATTAAAAGATTCCAGGATTCCTGTTTCCCGGGATGGTTTGTTAGTTAACTGCAGCGATGCGTAACCCTTTTTCGAGGGAATTCCTTTATGGGTTTCTCCTTGCAGTGTGACAGCTGAACTCCTTACGATGCAGTCACTTCGAATGGTCAGGATTCCACTGCCGTTTATCCTGAGCTCCTGGGTTTCTCCAGAGCAAACGCCCATCAAGGTGAGTTCCTTGGTGAGGGCAACCATCCAGGAATTCGGTGTCACCAGCTGTGTCCACATGCTACTCCTCTCCACTTGACGGAAAGTGCAGACTTTGGCGGACTGATTCCGTATAGCCGCCAAGGAGCAGGCAAAGTTCTCATCTCCATTTCCATAAGTTATTTGATTGTGCTTGCAGACGAACCTTTCGCCGGCCAACTCAGTGCAGTCATCCAGGTTCTGGAGTGGAAAGTACCTGTCCAAGTGATCGTTGATACCTAGATAGGGGGTTTCGGTGTCCACCAGCTGGATTTTGCCATTATCAACCCGTGGAATGGGAGTCAAACGGTAGACATTAAACTGTTCTACATCGATCAGGGGCACTGAGATTCGGAAGATCAAATGGTTTTCCAACTGCTGAGGTACTACGGTTGCGATGCGGTAAATATCGGAGATTGTGGATTGGTCAAAGGGCAGTCGTCGACCCCGTGGAATTTTGGACTGAACTTTAAGCATTTCCGCTTCCAACTGATTGGTGGTAAGAACAAAAGGACTGAGTTGCCGCTGATATGCAGAAGCCAATGCTTCAAGAATGGCATCCTGTGATCTTTTTATTTGGGATCCCAAAATACGTAAATGATTTTTCATCTGCTCGATGATCCAGTCTGGACTATCTGTGGCTTCATAAACGGGGGTATCATCGTAGAGTTCCAGTGGACTTACTTGAATGTTTAATGTGCTGTCGATGATGGAGGATTTATCCAACAACTTGTTGGCCATTTCATCTTCACCTAGAGAGAGTGGTTTGACTTTGAAAACCAGGGGATCATCTGTCTCAATCAGGCCATCTCGAAGAATGAGGCTCGCAAATTGTTTAAACTCGAGAACATCGCTGCACAGTCTAGAACTCATTGCGCACTTATCGAGAAGAGATTTATATACTTTTTTGAAGTCATTAATGGCCGGAAAAAGTGACTCCAAATGAAAGATCGCATATATGGTCCAATCCTCAAGCGCTATAGATGCCCGACCGTTGTACTCCACGAAGGTGCCAAGGCTGTTGTTAAAACCCTTCATCGTCATGGGACTTTCATCCTCGCTCCTTTCAACTGGAGTCCCATACGTAAACCCAATCAAAAACGTGATAAGGATGAACCGAAAACTTTTCGTTATCATTTTCCGCGCTTGTGACCTTATAACACAAAGTCCCTTAATAAACTGAAAGCAAGTTACTGAGAAGTGACTGCAAAAGGTATTGATTACAGATTAAATTTGCCGATTTAGCATTTTGATTTGATATATGTTTCACATACATACATCTGTATGTTTGCAGGCCGTTCCATTTTTTGCAAGTCCAGCGTTGTTTAAAACTAACCAACAAGGTTTTTTTTGAAAAAAATATATACCTATATATTTTTATAAAAAAAAATTAAAAAGCGTATTTAGTCGAGTGTACTATCAATTTTCGTCACAAATGTTGGTACCTTGAAGGTGCGTTGGTCACTAGTTGATTTTACCTAGTTAAGGGTATTTTGTATTAATTAAATATTTGTACATTTATTAAAATATATTATCGAACACTAGCTGGCCATGAGTCAATAGAACTGGCAATTTTTATTCAAAAACATCGAAATACACCGATGTTTTTTGGCATAGACATCAGTGTTTCTCCACCTCTAATTTGCCAGCCTTCGAGAAAAGTTAGTCAAAAATCAGAGCCCGTGCTGACAACACAAAAAATTTTCCGACCGAAAAGATTACACAAAAATCAAATATTACTTGTAAATAAGCGCATTTAGTTTCATTTATTCTTCGAATGCTTTTTAATAATTTTCTTTTTGTATCCCTTCTTGAAGGCCGCGTCGTGGAGGAGGACCTCAAAGCGCAGGGGGTTGAAGCGGTGTTCGTAGAGCAAGCTGATCAAAATCTTGACAGGGCGCTCGGCGAATGCCCACCAAGTGCTGCAACTGGTTCATTAAATATAAGGTATGACTTTTATATTTCTACAAATATCAACTAATAATCAAAACTTTAAACTGTGCAACTGTTAGGCCTGACAACAATAGAAGGTGCGGAGCTCTCAAGACGAACATTCCCATTGCGTGACGACACACAGATGCGAGTTCCTCCTTAAAATCATCGACGAAGTGCACCAAACGAGCTTTGCTCATGGACTTCCTGCTGCTAACCGCCAGATTGTTCATGAACGAGATTTGGACACAGATCTCCTCCTGCTAGCCACTTGATTGGAACCACAAAAGAATCTCTGCCTGGCTACAACGATATTACCCATCAGATCGGTCATATCGTTGTATCCCGGCAGGGATTCTTTTGCAGTTCCAATCAAGTGGCTAGCAGGAGGAAGTCCGTGTCGAGATCTCGTTCATGAACTTAAAAAGGAAGGAGCCTTGGCGGAAAACCTCGCACCGGTTTCCTGGCCGCTGCCAACAAATCTAAAAAGCGGATGTCCTGGCATCGGCGGTCCCATGGAGACAACCACGATTTACCGAGACAACCACGATTCCTGCTGTCCGCAATTAGCCATTTTTAATAAATCTAATATTTATGCGCTGCGCTTCAATGCTAGTTCAATGGTTTTAATATTTGCTTATCTATCTTCGAACCCTAGGTGACCATGTTTTTGGTGTATGAAGGATTTGCCTGTCTTTTAATATCATAGTCCGTGCGAGAGCGCAAACAATTTTCAGCCCAAATAGAATTAAAAAAAAATAATCAAAAATCTTTCTTGTTAGTAAGTGTTTTCAATTGTATTAATTTTTCCAGTGTTTTTTTTTTGGTTTGCCGATGGTATCGCGCATTCATCTCTTCGTAGGCAAATCGTAAGGACCTGCTGTTCCATTAAAGGTACAGAACGACTTTTATATTTCTACATTTATTTTAAAATAATACTAAAAACTATAAACAGTAGATTAAACTGTTAATACCTTCTTAAATATTTTTTAACTGATTTGAAAATAAAATTTAAACCTATTTTCGAACACAGGATGGCCATGAGTCAATAGAATTGACAATTTTTGTTCAAAATCGAAGTAGCCCAATTTTTTTGACACAAACATCGATGTTTCTCCACCTCTAACTTGCTTGCCTTCGAGAAAAGTTAGTCAAAAATCAGATCTCGTGCTGACAACACAATTTTCCGATTGAAAAGATTACACAAAAATCAAAAATTTTACTTGTAAATAAGCGCATTTAGTTTCATTTATTCTTCGAATGCTTTTAAATAGTTTTCTTTTTGTATCCCTTCTTGAAGGCCGCGTCGTGGAGGAGGACCTCAAAGCGCAGGGGGTTGAAGCGGTGTTCGTAGAGCAAGCTGATCAAAATCTTGACAGGGCGCTCGGCGAATGGCCACCAAGTGCTGCAACTGGTTCATTAAATATAAGGTATGACTTTTATATTTCTACATTTATTTTAAAATATCAACTAATAATCAAAACTATAAACTGTGCAACTGTTAGGCCTGACAACAATAGAAGGTGCGGAGCTGTCAAGACGAACATACCCATTGCGTGACGACACACTAAATTGCACTTCAAGGTTGCAAACTCCTCGTAGAGCTGGAGCGCGGCCAGCGAATCGCTCATCCCATCGCCAGCGAAAAGAAGTCGTGCGATCTACTGGCCTGATTCCTTGCCCCCGCTCCATGGCAAAGGGGTATACGCAGATGCGAGTTCCTCCTTTAAATCATCATCCACTTGATCATCGACGAAGTGCACCAAACGAGCTTTTCTCATGGACTTCCTGCTGCTAAACGCCAGATTGGAACGCAAAAGAATTGCTACCTGGCTACAACGATATTACCCATCAGATCGGTCATATCGTTATAGCCCGGTAGGGATTCTTTTGCAGTTCCAATCAAGTGGCTAGCAACAGGAAGTCTGTGTCCAGATCTCGTTCATGAACTTAAAAAGGAAGGTGCCTCGGCGGAAAACTTCGCACCGGTTTCCTGGCCGCTGCCAACAAATCCAAAAAGCGGATGTCCTGGCCTCGGCGGTCCCATGGAGACAACCACGATTTACCGCTTTCCTGCTGTCCGCCATTAGCCATTTTTAATAAATCTAATATTTATGCGCTGCGCTTCAATGCGAGTTCAATGGTTTTTATATTTGCTTATCTATCTTCGAACCCTAGGTGACCATGTCTTTGGTGTATAAAGGATTTGCCTGTCTTTAAATATCATAGTCCGTGGGGAGATCGCAACCAATTTTTAGCCCAAATAGAATTAAAAAAAAAATCAAAAATCTTTCTTGTAAGTAAGCGTTTTCAATTGTATTAGTTTTTCCGGTGTTTTTTTTGGTTTGCCGATGGTATCGCGCATTCATCTCGGTGTAGGCAAATCGTAAGGACCTGCAATTTCATTTAATGTACAAAACGACTTTTATATTTCTAGATTTATTTTAAAATAATAATTAATATTAAAAACTATAAACAGTAAATTAAACTGTTAATACCTTAAATATTTTTGAACAATTTGACCAAGTAGGCCAAACTGATTTGAATATGAAATTTAAAACCTATTTTCGAACACTAGATGGCCATGAGACTATAGAATTGACAATTTTTTTTCAATATCGAAGTAGCCCGATTTTTTTGACACAGACATCGATGTTTCTCCACTTCTAACTTGCTTGCCTTCGAGAAAAGTTAGTCAAAAATCAGAGCTCGTGCTGACAACACAATTTTCCGATTGAAAAGATTACACAAAAATCAAAAATTTTACTTGTAAATAAGCGCTTTAAGTTGTATTATTATTTTTTCTGGTGATCTTTAATAGTTTTTTTTTTCATAACTTAAAGACAAAAGTTTAAGCTGCAACGCGACTAGATGACCGCAATAAACACCGCCCGATGGCAACGAGAAGGTCTTGATCAACACGCAGGCAATTAAAGTAAAGTACTCCACCATAAATTGGTCAGTTTCTTCTACGAGCACCGCTACAACGACTGTTCCAGTGGTGCGGGTAAGTTGACCCTCTTCTTGGAGGCAAATCTTACTGAGTTGCAGGTCTGTAACTGGTTCATCAATATAATATTAGATTATAACATTTACATTTAGTTTAAAAGAAACAATTTATATTCCAAGCTATAAACAGTATACGACACCGCGAGTTCAGATAACAATTTAACTGAATAATACTTATATGTATATTTTTAATTAACCAACAAATTGTGCCGCATCATTGACATGACATTGACAGTAGAAAGTTCAGATTTTTTTCACATAGTAACTGAGTTGTCAAACAAATAAAGAAGTTACCCTTAATTTCAGTGTCAATTTTCTTTTAATTCAAATATTTTAACACCGCTTCTGAAAGGGCCTCGCTTTTTTAATGTACATATATATATTTATATATTCGACAATAATAAAATACAAGTTTTGTAGTCTGTTAAAATTTAAGAAGAACTCAGTAATACTATCTTTAATCTATCAATGTTTGCCGTAAAACAATAGTTTAAAATAAAACTTAAATTAGTAACAAAATAATTAGCTATGCGCAGGCATTTACTATCAACACTGAGAAAAAACCAAATTTTTTATTAGTCCATATACTTATATTTTTTTCACTTCGTATACCATTGCAGAGTTGTCACCGTCCGCAGTTTTAAAAGTCATAAGGGATACTTGGGGCAGATTGGGGCAATAGATTCGATACGGAACTGCTTTCCGCCTGCAAAATGAGTATCAGGCCAATCAGCAGGTTCGTGAGCCCCAGCTACGACTTATGGTTAAAATTACATGATTTCTCGACGAACAGTATCCACTCACTTAGAATGTCCTTCGGCTTCCACCAAGTCCTTCATTCTTCTCCCTGTCTATACCCAGCTGGTGGATATAGACAGGGAGAAGAATGAAGCCCTTGGTAGAAGCCGAAGGATTTTCTCAGTGAGTGGATCCTGTTTGTGGAGAAAACATGTAATGTTAACCAGAAGTCATAGCTGGGGTTTTATATGATCTATGATTGTACAGCGCTCAACTGAGCGCAAACATTTGTCAGACCTCGATCACCATACCGGATTTGCCCTAAATCACCAGTGTCGATCTATGTATTGTCGGATCTATGTATTGTTGAGTTCGCCGGGACCTTCTTCGCCAGTCGGCTCCACCAACAAATTCTCCATTCTCGGCGTCATGTCCTTCAGATAAAAGATCCTCGCTCCGAAGATGCAGTTTCAAGTAAAACAAAGAAAGAAGACTGACCGCAATAATATGCTAGATAAATATGTAACTTTTATACAAAAAATATAATATGCATATATTTATGTAACTTTTATACAAAAAATATTTTGATTTCTATAAGTGATTTCTTTAATCGACGTGAGGATGTGATAGATGTGAGGATTTTTGGTGAACTCAAGGTCAAAGTTGACATTATTAACTCAACCGTTTGTTAGCATTTATATATTAAATGCAACCCTATTTTAAAAATCATCATCTTTTTAAAAAGGTAATATTTGTTAAACATTTTAAGGGTATTAAAATTACTAATAGATAGAACTTTTTTAAAAGAAAATTATATTTTATTATAAACTGACGGTTATGCAACTACGTATTCAATTTACATAACAACCAGTGTCATCGCACCATAGATTTTTTTAAATATTAAAAGCAACCCTATTTTATAAATTATCATCTTTTATAAAAAGTAAAAAAATTTTGAAACATTCTAATAAGTTTTTAATAGTACTTTTTTTTTAAAGAAATTCCATCTTAATATAAACTGACGATTGTGCAACTACGTATTCAATTTACATAACAACCAGTGTCATAGGGGCACACATCGCACCATAGAAGCACACAGAAATGGCCAGGCAGTAACGCAGCTCTTTGCAGATTCGACGCAGGCGCAGTGGAGGATTGCCGAGCTGCCTGGCCAGGGAACTACGTAAGCAGGCTCCTCTGAGGTCCGCAATTCTTTATCAATGAGAGTGACGTAGGTTGTGTGCAGACCGGACGGGAAGTGGTGGGTGGGTGGGTGGGTTGAATGAGTGGAATGGGTGGTGCTACTGGGTCTGCAAAAGAACGGCCAACGGCACGGAATCGGGGCCAGTACGTTAAAAACTGTTGCACTGCGTCGCTGGGACGTCAGTTCATTCAGAACAGTCGAAGTGCGCAGACCACCACTGGAGAAGGACGACACGGAACAGGAGTCGAAGTCGACCTCCCACCCACCAGCCAGATCCGAAACCGTATCCGTAACCGAATCCGAATCCTATTTGGGACACCGTTCAGAGTAGTGAAGTGCAGCCAAAATAAGGAGCCATGAGCAGCATGTCATTGCCCAGCAGCAGTTTGCTGGTCATCCTGGCGCTGATCCTGTGCCTCAGTCCGCCGATCCGGGCGGTGCCCGCCTCCGTTCTCGCCCAGGACACGGAGCTTTCCACCAGCGCCAATCATAAGCTCCAGCAGCAGCTGGAACAGCAGCAACAGCCGGCAGCAGGTGAGTGCCAAAGTTCAGTTCCTCAGTTGGGAGCAGCTACCGCCCACTCGCCACCCGCGTTTAATGCTAAAGGTTATTGGGAAATTTCGAGTTTTTTGAAAAACTCTCGCCCCTAGGCGAAATCTGCTCAGCTCGTCCTCGTCGTCTGCGTGGGTGGGCTGCTGATTTTTCGGAGGGTCTCGTTCTCGGGCATCCGCTCGAGTGGCTCCATCTTGGGGCTCATCTCATTTAGCATTTTCCATTTCCCATTTACCGTTTGCCGTTTGCGCCAGGAAATTGCGTAGGTGTTTTGCGCCAGGACGACAGCTGTCGCCTTCTCCTGCGATGTCGCTGTCGCTGTCTTGTCCTGCCCGCCCCCGCCCCCTTGAGTCCACATCCTTTTTGCACGATTTCACAAATTTCCATCCTGCGGTTGTTGTTCTTACACTGGCTTAGTGAATCATTACTGTCTCTACACTGCGAAAATAGCACCTTTTCAAATCAGGGGAAAATTAAATAAACTAAACCGAAATTATTGCATGTATTATGGGCTTAACATTTTTAAATACTTTGAAGAATAGAACATTACACAAATATAATTAGTTTTATATACTTTAAAGTTTACTAACTACAATTGAAAATCAAAAAAGTAGCAATATTTTTTTTTAAAAATGTGTCAATTCCATTCTTCTGCAAATAATTTTAAAATATACTTTTGGCAGTTTTCTCCTCCGCATGTTAAATTTAAAGTAGGGTCTAATCACCAAATATCCATACATTTTCAAGGTTTAAAGCGGTCTTTAAATTTAACACGCGCACTAAAAGAGTATTGAAGTAAAATGTATATATTTAAAACATAATAAAGTTACAGTTATTTACTATAACTAAACAAAATAAATATTAATTTATTAAAACTAATTTATTTAATAAATATTTAATAATTTAATGTTTAAATAATGCCGTTCAAGTGCAAGGTAAAATCTACTTTTCCAAGCTTTTTAAAATACAAAAACTACCTATTTCTTCCAGTGCTATTACATTGTACATATATGTATGTGGCTAAGAGCCCACCAACACAAGCACATAGGAACCTACAGCGCAGTTAAACATCGCGTAGGCGTTCGCCACACAAAATGGCGGCCAGCCTCCTTTGTGCACACATACGTATGCACCAAATACACGTACTCGGTGTGTGTGTGTGTGTGTGTGTGTTTGCCCTCCTTGCCTGTTAAAGTGTGCGTACGTGCGCGCGATTTCATTTCTATTTTTAGAAAGCGAGTTAGGCGAAAGTTTTCAGCCCCTTCTGCGCTTTCAGCATTTTCTGCTTGCCTGGCGCCTTTCGCCTAGCATCGCCATTCAACATTCACCACATCTTGGGAGAAAGTCCCACCCATCTCTTACCCAACTTCAGCTAGCACCCACCGCCCACTTTCACCGCAGCATTGAGCCTTTAAGTAGGCAGCCAGCTCAAGCTGTTAAGCCTTTTCGATCCCATTTCTCTACGGCCTGCCCCTCCCGATTTTCGAATGCTCACCCATTCATACATACTCCCTTGTATGCAACACGTTCGTTAGCGGCCCAAACCGCTGAAAGTAAGGCCAAAAAAGCAGCTGGGCTTTGGTCAAATGTCAATCGCCTAAAGCCAACGGCAGCCACATCAAAATGTCAAACGCAGGTCCTCGAAAAAAATGTATAAATTGAATTGGGGTGGACAATTTGTCTCGTTAGCTGAAAATGTAAGCCAATTAAAATGTACGGTAAAAAATTGCTATTAAATCAAATTAAATTGCTACGTTGACAAAACAATCACACAGATTTCTCAAAAGGTAAAAACACCTATTAAATCTATTGAAGTTTAAAATCATTGAAAGGTGCCTGAAAGTATGCACCAAAATATGTTCTATTCTATGGCTCTTTCTAGAACCTGAAAAACAAGTTTATTAGACAGTTTAAAAAATATTTAATAGATGCTAAAGATATAAAAGAAAATTTTTAATCATTTAAGACCATATATAAATCTCTAGGGATTTTACAAAATGGTTCGAAATTCTGGAGGCTAAGAACGATTTCGGCTGACATTTTAATTAACCACTCGATTTCCCAGAACATAATTCATAGTATACTTTCCAGTGCTTGTCTCTGGAGAAAGCACTAATAGATTTCGCCCCCACAACACTTTGCCCCCTAAATAGATTTATTAAATCCCCTGATGGGTGGCTATAGTGGGTGCCAAGCCAACAGCCCCCCATCGTGTTTATTAAATTACATATGGCAGCTTAATGACAAAGGCAAACAGGCTCAGCCTTCAAGTGTCCAGCTGTTGGGACTCCTGACACTCTTTAAAATGCAAAGTGAAAACAGGGTCCACCCTAGCGTTGAAAATTACGCACCAGCAGCGTCGGCAGTCAAGTGTGCACATTAAATATTTATAAAAGCAATGGCTGCTGGCCGTTCCTGTCACTCGTCGCCACCATCATCATCATTATCGAATGGTTATGAAATATTCAGGGAAAGGATCCTGGATTTTATTCCTCGACAATTCCGAAAACCGCAGGCTCCCAAATGCGTTTAACAAATTTTTCCATATGCCGTGGTTATTAAGTTATTTCTGTGTTTCAGGGGGAGAGAGAAAAAGAAAAGCGCCCAAGGACTTAGCCATGGCGTTAATTGTGTTCATGTTCATGTCGAGTTGTCTGTGGTGGCCCGACTTTTCGAACAGCTGCTGGCTAAGGAGCCACCCACTGAGGGGGAGAACCACCCACAACCCCTAATCTCTGCGCATGTGTGCGTGTGTGTGTGCGGGGAGCAAACAACTTGTTGATACTTTTACAGTTCAGTGAACACTCTTGTGGGGGAAAAAAAGACGAGGACGACGTCAGCAAACGTCAGAGCTTTTCTTTTTTATTATTTATTTATTTATACAAGTACCATAGTACCCACCCCAAGTGATGGACATCCGAGAGCAGGACATTTGCCACATATAAACATATTTAACGGCAATGGCGTGGATGGGAATAAAAGCGAAACACGAGCATTGTTGGCATTAAATAACCGGGGATTCTTGGAATCATTTAGCCAGAGCCGCTTTCTGGAATTCTCGGCTGACCCAAGGACCCGGGGGCATTGCGAACTGGGTTACATGTAATCCATAAATTGTGTTGTCGCCTTAAAGTATGTACATTTTTACAGCTAAGCTAGAATTTCAAAGAAAGGTGGGTGTTGCTTTGGTCATCACATGGAAACTAAACCTGTTATTAAGAACTTAGAAAAGGTATCTTAAAGTATGGCTTTCTTTAAAGTATACACCCAAAAAAAATTGATATGAAACGTAGATCGATTTTACATTATTTAAGATCAATTTTAATTTGATATGAGGCCAGGTAAATTTGACCTGGTCGAAAAGGGTATTTCATGTAAAACCCTATAAATAGTATTCAACCTGATGTATTTCACAAGCTTATTATAAATGACATGCATAATGCAAATATAATATATCCAAATGGTAAATATGATAAATACTTCCAAAGGTTCTTTCACCATTTGATCCAAACCGCATGTCATTTTATGGCATACCATTTCCTGATAAATATATCTATTTATTTACTACCACCTGGCCCTTTCAATTGGCACAAGCTAATCACACATTAATCATTGGGGTCGTATAAATCATAGCTATTTGGGTATCACTCCCACTCCATTCCATTTATGATATCTCTCTTCTCAATAATCGACTATCAAAGCTCCATAGAGATAAGCTTATAGATAGTCCCCTGACACAGAGAAAAAGAAAGCAAAAATAGTCATCAAAATCATATTTTTGCATATCAATATTGGTCCGTTTTGTGTTCATATCAAAAGGATGTTTTGTAACATATGATTTTGTACCGTATTGATATGAAATCTTACCTTTTTGTTATGGAAAAATTGATATGAAACAATATCAATTCCATATTGTTCACTTTTTTTCTGTTGTGTAGAAAAAAACCCCCTTTAGCAATTCGCGGAACCTTGCCAAATGCCAAATCCATATTCGCTGCTAGGGAGTTTAACGAGTTTTTCTCATCACGACCCAGGTGGCTGGTCCACCTGAACTCGGGATTGGCTTCGGAGATGGAGATTGAATAACCGCTCATGTGGAGGGCTCATGTCAAGTGCTAAGTGAAACTTAATTGGCGGCAGCCAGCGCTCGATTATCATTATCAACCGATCCGAGATATTAAAAACCAGGCCAATTAGCGGGACCAACTGTTGCGCGAAGAGCTGGAACCTGGAACCCCTTTTCAATTCGATGCCATCGGAGCAATGTGATTAGGATTAATGGGGTCGGTTCTTGGTCCTTGGTCCTTCGTCCTGGGGATTACATTGGTTGCCCGAACATAAACATAAAAATAAATATAAGCCCGGCTGTCAGGGCGCTAAAAGCAATTAGCGCAGACCGAGAAATATGCTCGAGTGTATAAAACAATTATGGTACTCGTTTGGCGGACGACGGCTAATTGGTTTTGCGGTCACTGCGGCTGCGGGGGTTGCGAATTTATTGAATCAGCCCCGGGGAAATGGGAAATGGAAAATTGGAGTGCCCCAAAGCACTGGGCCAGAAGCAGCGGGGCAATGGATGGAAAATTTCAATTCCAATTTGTGTTCGTTCTTTCTATTCTCCATTAGCGAAACGCTCCGAGGAGGCGACTGCGAATGCCGTGCCAACGGCGGACAAGAAGTCGAGTCCGGAAATTGTGCCCGCTTCCTTTAGCAATACTCCCTCGGCCCGGAACAATCCCATTCCGATCTCCGTCGCCAGTCAGCCGCAACAGGTGCCATCCGGCCTGTATGCCCTGCCCTCGAACGACGAGATCCTGGCCGCCGTGGCAGCCGCCGCCCAGAATAGCCAACAGCAGCTGCAGGAGGAGCCAACTGCCCTGGAGGAGGCGGTGGCCAGCTCCACGATGCGCAAGCGGGGCATCAACTACGAGTACAACCCGTACTCCGCGCTGGCCTCCAGCGACTACGGCAGCGATGTGCCCAGTGGCGTCTGGTCGGATGACTACGAGGCCGCCGTCCCGGTGAGCTATGGCGAACGGGATCTGCAGGAAATCGAAGACTACGTTCCGGAGCGAAGAGGTGGGTTGGAAAAAATTATAGGATAATTTTAACCGAACTTTATATATAATCTTAAGACCTAAAAGAAAGCATTAAAGTAAATTTTAAGTTCGAATTTAATCTATTTCCTTTCCAATAAATACATTTAGATTTTAAAGGAAAAGTAAATTAAAGAAAATAATTAAAATAGGTCAAAAAATAAATTCAAATTATATTGCCACTTTGGTATATATTTTTTAAAGTTATTTATGGTCGTTGTATATTAATAATGGCATCAGATTTATTTTAATTAATCTAATAAATTACACAAAAAATTAAAACATTTTTCTTATCATTTCAAATGTTTAGTGAGTGGATCGAGTGCGCGAAACAAGGCCTACGATAATCTGCAAAATCTCCTGAATGCCGAGGCCTATCTGGAGAGCATTCCCCTCTCGGTTCCGCTGACCTATGCCAACCGGAACTACAACTTGGATGACCGGAACAAGCGCGGTATCTACTACAACTTGGGAGGCAACGGTGGTAATAGTGCGAGTGGCCTTCCCAGCGGAAGCGGATATAATAGCGAAAATATCAACCTCAACAAATACCGACGATTCAATGATATGCGGTAAGTTAAATATTATGAAAGGATTTTTAAAATGAAAATTACTTTAACAATACCATAACTGAGTGAATACTTATAATAACCAGGGGCAACACTACGTATGAGCAATATTTTTGAAAGTTTTCTTGCCAACAGAAGTATATAAAATATTCCAAAATTTTTCAAGCTTTTAATTGAGGATTAATCTTTTGTTTATTAATGAAATGAATTTGTCAATGAAAAAACTGCATAAAATTTTATAAATTGTCATGTAAAATTTTAAAATTAAAATAATTACTTTAAAAAATGTTTTAAATTCACTAACAATTTTATACAATTTGCTGGCTTAAGAAATACATTTTTTTAAAATATAAATCATATATTTTGCTTCATTTTCAGCCTGAAACGCGACACCCAGTTGAACCCCGCCGATATGTTGGCCCTGGTTGCCTTGGTGGAGGCCGGAGAAAGGGCGCGCAAGGAGAGCGATGTGGAGAGCGCCGTGCCGGTGCCCATGATTGCCTCCGATTCCGATTTGGACTATGTGCCGGCGGCCAGTTGGATGGATGTACCTGTACAGGCGCAACCCGCTCTGGTGGACTACTACGACAACCAGAACCAGAACAACCAGGTGATGCCCAAATACGAGTACGTGCCGCGTCAGCACAAGTACAATGGAGTCAATAGCCGTAAGTCTAGATTTATATCTATTTCTGTAAGAAAAAATATATTTAAAATTTTAAATGATATCCCCAGGTTTCGGTTCCTCAAAACAGCGATATATGGTAGCCAAGAAGAAGCGCTCCGTTAGTCAAAGCCAATTCATGAACGAACCGGTGGCCGAACGCGGATCCAGCTATAATGGCGAGAAGTACTTCTAAAGATCCCAAACAGCATCGATAGTCTATATAGTATTTAATGATAGCCACAGGCCCCACGAAGAGTATTTCTCGTTTTTTTGAACATTGAACATAACATAATCCAAAGAACACAAAGAAACCCAAAAAAAAAAACTAAAATTTCTAATTCAATTATAGTAATGAGATAGTGTCAAGGTCAACTCGTGTGCAATTTCTGTGTAGAATTTCAATTTTAAACCAACTAACAAGAATTAAATTATTGTTATATGCATATGAACATTAATATATATATTGTGCTATGTCAAGAACATAATCAAATCGATGTTTTTAGGACGCCGAACAGGGTTCGGCGATTTTGTCCCACGAAATCTAACCCTAGCCTAACCGAAATGGAACTAAACCGAATCTATGCCAACTAATCCCTGTATGAAATCGATGTCTATGGCAACTAAATGTACAATTACTGAAATCCAGAGAAACCGCAACTATCTGTATCTACTTGTGTAATACTTATCGAACTAGAGGCTTCCCGACTAGTACAAAAACAATGAGTGGAGAACGTTCAAATATATATATATAATATATACAAATATCGATGGCAACAATCGCCAAAATCGGCTAGTTATCAACTTTAATCGAGCTCAGAAGCGACAATGGTCCTCTTAACTGCTTTAATTTATAACTAAATATTTTTGACACCACCACATTGAGAACTATACTATTTTATAGACACGCGCCGACTTGAGGACAAAACGATCTGACAATTGATGAGAATTTTAATCGTATATACCTACTGAATATCCGCAGCAAAATATATTATATATATATATAACTATATGTATACAATATGCAAACTATTTGTCAAAATTAAAAGTGGCTCAGGAGCATAAATATTTTAAATATCTTATGCCGTCGATGGAGAGGCGTATCTTTAATTTGAATGAAATTGTCTGACTGTTTTTGGTAATAATCAAATATACATACATATGTACTATGGAATATGATAAAAAATAAATTATAAATTACTTATACAGAGATAAACACGATGAGGAGGAGTATTTAAAATGCATTAATAGCGTATATGTGTGTGTGTATACAATACAATACAGAAAACTATATATATATATGAACACTCAAGTAACTATAATATAATATATATTTTCCCTTACACTTTTTGGGTCTCCGAATATTTGGCCTTTAATTTACGCCTTAAGTTCCGAGCGCGAGCTTAATTTGAAAATATATTTATTTACAAGCAACTGATTTACGATTAAATAAAATACGTCTTTGGTTTGAAAACCAATGAAATATTGGATAAATGGGGGTTTTTTCGAAAGGGGGGGGAGGTGTTAGTCCATTGACCTGGAAATCAATTCGCTGTTGTCAATGGCAGATATTTAAATAAAAATGGGAAATTAAAAGCATTTCTCCCTGGAATCAAATCATAGAAATGTGTCAATTTGGGGCTTACAACAATCATCATCAGTTACAATTAGAGGAATTGGAATTTGTTTTTTTAGCTGCGCAGTAACAGCGTCTCAATGAAAAAGTCATAAAAATCATTTTCTTTTTTCTACGTTTTGTTGTCAACCGAAACCAAGACAAAAAATTTGAAAGGAAAAGTTAAATAATTGAAAATTGGGAGACAATTCAATGAGAGCCAATTAACAACTAGACGCGTCGCGTGGACTTTTAAGCAAAGTGTGTGCCAAAATTAAATAAAAACCAATTGGCCTCCGCACACGCGTTGACTTCAATCGGAATTCAGATGGGTTTCATCATCGGTACTCTCCAGTACTTTGTACTTCTTTAATGTTCCATGCAAGTCCCATTGACACAAATGCATGTCCAGCGGAGAACCCAGAGAACCAAGCAGCCATGAAGTCTCTATTGTGGAAAACACTGGAAATTGAAAACAAAGTTCTGGCCCGGACGCTTGATGAGGTCCAACTTTATGCAAACAGACCCCAACAGGGCCTTGTCATTCATAAACAATACAATATATACCATAAACAGTAAGAATAAACAAAACACTGAATTACGAAGCTGAGGTCCAGATATTTCAGAGGGGATCAATGGAACGTCATTTTTGTTATGACTTGTGGTTACCCTTTAAACTAACTTTAGCTTTTGTTTATAAAAATATCAATTTATTAATTTGAATTTATTATTCTACAATTTTAATGAAATTAGACGACATTGTTTTCTCTTATAATAAAATGCTTAAAAATTATCTTTAAATCAAAACGTATGCTTACTGATTTAGTTAGAAAGTTCGATTATATCTTATCGAATATAGTCGCTCATTTGTCAGATGCAGAAAGTAACACACATTAAACAACCCCGACTGAGAGCCAAATTGTTGCCATATGGCAAAGGAAAACTAAATAAATACAAACAACAGAGAAAATGGCAAAAAGCGGGCATTAATATGTATGGAGTGAAGTACATACTTACATATAACCAGTAAAAGAGCATTGGAGCCTGAAGTTGGAGGAATGGTGGGGGAAGTCACTGGATGCGGGTCTGAATGGAAACTAGAGGGACATTTGCATATCTCATCAGCAAATGAGCAACGACCAGAAAGAAAAACCTGCTAGACAATGAGGCAGGGAAAAGCTTATAAGGCTCTTACAATAGAATAAATAAAGCCAACTTTTACACACTAAACAAGGAACTTAAATTGAGAAATTTAATATTTATTTCCAGCACCCATAAAAATAACTAATAGATCTCATTCTGATAAATGCTCACGAGTCTTTCCCAATAGGAAGCATTTGTTTTAGCGATTCCCCCCACGGGCATCACGATTTCGCACCTCTTATCATGAGATCTCATCCGCTGGAAAACTTGTAAGATTGGCGTTTATTAACTGATCAAATAAGAAATTCATTTAAATTCATAAACACTAGTCTTGAATGTATAAAAAAACGCAAAGTTAACGAAACAATAAAAATAATTTTTGATACATTTGATTGGGCTTTCTTGATAGGCCACTGGGTCTAGATCGCCGAACCAAATTTATACTAATTTCATGCACGCGTTTTGAATGTTTAATAACCACTTTGAATACGTATTGCTTCGATTTATCCATCTGTATAAAAAATTATATTATTGTGGTTTTGTTTTTGAGTTGAGTAAGGCGAACTAATCGACAATTTGCTATACTTATATAATAATTGTTTATATTAAGTAACGGACAGAGGAAAAGTTCATCTACCTTCTGAGTTTTTAAATATATTTTAAATATGATTATTTTGTTTATAAATTCTATAGTTGAAAGTTTAGAAAAAAATTTGAAAAAATTATTCTTTTTCACTTTTTGTTAAATTTCTAACTGTTCCTTTGCATTCTTTATGTTATGAACTAAAAAGCTCGGCACCTGTTTGAATACAAATTAATCAATTCAAAACAACTCTTTTTTTAGCCTCACAAAAATTATCCAATGTATTTAAAATTCCGCCGAGATGTCTAATAAATTAGAAGCTTAAATTGTTATTTCCCTTTCATTCATGAAGTATTTCGAAATTGGCCTAAACACGGGGACAGACCATTGATATGCTGGCCAAGTAGAATGCGTGGGCGCATAGGTAAAAGCCAACTTACCAGAGATCGCCACCCAGCAGGGACACAAACCGAAAGTATCTAAAAGTAACGATGCAATCGAATGAAAGGCAAATGAAATTTTTACAAGGGGAGAGGCGTTTACTGTATGAGGCATACGACTTTGGGGATTGTGGAGGGGGTATATCTTTCTCGGGCAGTATGACAAACAATTTCCGAACCCCACAAAAGCACGAAGCTCGAAGATACGCGCCAAACGACAGGCAAACCACTTGGAACCAGAGAACAAGATCCCAAAACTCGAGACCCACCACCACCAACTTGGTCCCAAAAACCAAAAACACAGATACACACGTACACCAAGGCGAAACGAGAATTTTTTGTTTTTGGGGACGACGCACAAAATCAAAGAGTATTCCAGCTAGCCGCTTCAGTTGGTGAGCAACTTTCGAAGGCAACGCACGTGGATTTCGGTATCGCATTCGGTTTCGTTATTTCGGTTCCGAGGCGTGAGAATATATCTCAATCTGTTTAAATAAAATATTAGCATTTACCGGGTCGCCAGCTAGAAATCCTCAAGATGACGGACGAAGTGCCCGCCAAAGGCAGCGTTTTGGGCAGTAAGTTATGGATTATACGTAAATCGGAACCATCTGTTTCGAGATTGCAGTCGTGGACTGCATCATCTGGTGGCAATGCAATGCAGTGCAACAAGTGGGTGGGAAAAAGACTTTTTTTTGGCAAGGCCAAGGCAATGATAAAGATACATCTTTGACCTCCAAAAACCGGCACAAAGGTCGTTCGTGTGCGTGAGTTCCAGAAATCTTCCTTATTGCGCGTGTATACGTGTGCGTGTGTGTGTGTGGCATATCCTTTATGTTTTTAGGTTGCTGTGGCTTTTTTTAGATTACTGCCCACGCCACGAGGCATATTTGATTTGTTTTTGGCGTTTTTATGCCCAGGGACTGAGGTCCAAGCAAGGTCAAATGGAAGTCATAGATATAAACAATATTGGCATACAAATATATAGCCAATTTGTATACGCAGGCCAAACAAACGCGACATTCTTGAAATTCGTCTACCTATCCCAACAAAAACTGCGAAAGTTTGCCAAGCTTTTGAGTGCGGTAAATAATAGTGTTTACTTTAATCAAAATGCGCGAACTTTTTATGCGGCATTTGTGTAAAAGTTTGAGTTTTATGATAACAAAATGTATCGTATATTTTTAGAGTTCTTGTACACAAGATTGATTAGCTTGTAGGGATTACCGAAAGGAGCTCTAATCAAATATTTTATTAGCTCTTTTTACGACACCCACAGGATGAATAACCTTTGGTTTTATAGCAAACAACTGGGGTTTCACAAATTGTGATGCACAAAAATAAGCCTTTATTTCTAATAGAATGTTTACTATTTACAAGAAAAACATTTCAATAAAAATGTTCATATTTCACCAAATAGTTGTGAAATATTTAATAACCATTTTATTTGAATAGTCTGTTATAAATCCGAATCACATTATATTGTCATTCAAATAAATATATTTATAAATATATTGTCATAAAATATTATTCACAATACTTTTTCAAGAAACCAAAAAAACAGTTGTAAAATAAATTAAACAATTAAAAACGGAGGTCAATAAGTAAAGGCTATTTGACCATGTTTAATGGAGAAATTATCCAGGATCAGCCGGTCTTATCTTAGCACTTTATAGATTACCCTAAGTACTTGAGCTTAACCACCACGCCCCAACTAATCAAATTTATGAATACTTACCAACTGAAAGGTATTGGTGCTTTCCAGCATTTAACACAAGGCAAATAAAGATTAAGTAATAAAGTCTTAAGAAATTACCAGCGAAGGATTGATACTCTTTCAGGAAATATTGAAGAAAATAAAATAATAGGAAATATATATCTATATCTTAATTCTTCCCAAATCATATACAACTTTTTACTGGAACCAAACTAACAATAACTTAGTGGATGATACAATTAACACCTCCTTCTCCATAAACCTGTCAAAAGAAAGGGTATATCTCAAGACATTGAGAGAATAATTCTCCCTGCATGGATGGAACAATTAGCAAATATAAATAATCGTGTTGCCAGCTCGGAAGGCCCACTTCTGACAGCCATGAAAGTGAAATTGAAAACAAAGACCACAAATTTATACCCCTCGTTATCGCAACGTGCTCATAATTGCCAGACATGATTGTCCCCCTCTCCGATTTCAAAAGGGGGTGGATTATAATCGCTGAGGTATCGATGCGCGTGCGATGGTTCTATATACTGACCCTACCCAACTGCCAGTAATCAGTGGTCGGTTCCATGTAGAACTCGTGGGTCACCAGGTGATTGAGTTCTAAACACCCAAGTGGTGTCATGTCCCTAAAAATATCTTAATGGTAATGTTCCTTCGGGTAGCCTACAGTGTCTTCAGATATTTGCCTTTACTCCTTGTGATTCGGGAAAGAGCAGCGAAAGAAAACTAGAACTAATTCCTTAATTTGCTTAAATGGTATTGTTTAGCATTAAATATCAATGCTAATTGAAACTCGTCGAGCAACAATTGAATTGGCCAATACGAATATCGCTGGCATTAATCAAATTGACTTTCCTCACACAACCGAGGGAAATGTTTATTTAATTGCTTACGGAATATATTTTCCGGATATTGAAATAGATTGTTATAAAGTGGTTTATTCTGTAAATAAAATATCTAAATATATGATTCCATTTAAAATATGTAAATATTTTTTAACATTTTAATGCTTTTGGATTTCTATGGAGAATAAAAATATTTAAGATGATCTATGATTAAAAAACTTAAACATTAAAGCAAACTGATTTTCTTTTAGTGGCTAATGAAAATTTAAAAAATTGAGATTTTTTAATTTTGATTCTATAATGTTGAGTCAAAATGTTGTTTTTATTTTTAATAATTTTTGATTAACATTTTTTAAACTAATCTTTAAGCGAAATCAGAACTTGCTGGGTAGCAAAATCCGTTAATATAATCCCTCCTCATTATATTTCTAATTATTTTCTTTCTCCTTCCAGAACTTGTGCCCGCCCGCTATGTGTTGGCTCTCCTGGGATCCATTGGCATGGCCATTGTCTATGGACTAAAAGTTAATCTCAGTGTCGCCATGGTGGCCATGTTGAATCACACGGCTATCAAGGCCCACGGCGATGTTGGAGGACATGGTGGAGGCAGCATAACCCTCTCGAATGTCTCCCAAGTGTCCCTGGTGGAGGAGTGCCACCCGCCGGGTGGAGTGCCGTCTCCTGTCAACGGAACAACGGCTAAGGTCGAGGATGGACCCTTCGACTGGAGCGAACCCCTGCAGGGAACCCTGCTGAGCTGCTACTTCTGGGGCTATTTCGTCTCTCAGATTCCCCTGGCCCACGTGGCCGAGAACTTCTCCGCCAAGTGGGTGATGCTCTTCTCGGTGGCCATCAATGTGGTGTGCACACTGCTGACTCCGGTGTTCACCAATTTGCATTACGGTGGCTTGATCCTGATGCGAGTCCTGGAGGGCGTCGGCGGAGGAGCCTCCTTCCCGGCCATGCACGTGATGATCGCCTCCTGGGCTCCGCCCACCGAGCGCATGGTCATGTCCACCATCATCTATGTGGGCACCTCGGCGGGCACTGCTCTGTCCATCCTCCTGGCCGGCGTTTGCTCCGCCCAATGGGGCTGGGAGTCGGTGTTCTATGTGATGGGTGCCCTCAGCTGCATCTGGATGTTGCTGTGGGTCATCTTGGTCCAGGACAACCCGAACAAGCAGCGCTTCATTAGCCCCGAGGAGCGGCAAATGATCACCAGTTCGCTGGGCACGGAGACGAAAACGGAGCACCATCCCTCTGTTCCATGGGTCAAGGTCTTCAAGTCCATTCCCTTCTGGGCCATCCTGATTGCCCACACGTGTAGCAACTTCGGCTGGTACATGTTCCTCATCGAGATTCCGTTCTACATGAAGCAAGTCCTCAAGTTTAACGTGGCCAGCAATGCGGCTCTCAGTGCTCTGCCCTACTTCCCCATGATCATCTTCAGCATTTGCCTCGGAAAGCTCTTGGACAGTCTGCAGGCTAAGGGTGAGTCTTTTTATATCTTTTAAAAAGATCGCACAGATTTTGCTTCTGGAAATGGAGCAATAGAATAAAATAGAATTTAAATATATAGACTCATATTTGAATTTATAATAATCTTATCTTAACTATTTTCATTATTTCTATAACCAATCATTTCAAATTATCAAAAATAATAATGTTCAAGCGAATTTAATTACTAATTAAAGATTTAAAATGATTATTTTGGGGGGTTTTACAAAAAACTTAAAGCTTCTTCAAAAATAGCATTTAAATATATACCCTCATATTTGAATTTATAATAATCTTATCTTATCTATTTTTATTATTTTCCGAGCCAATCATTTGAAATTATCAAAAATAATAATCTTCAAACGAATTTGATTACCTAATTTATAAAGATTTAAAATGATAATTTTGGGGGTTTTTCGAAAAATCTTAAGGGTTCCATTTTAAAATGATTTAAAATATATAGTTATTTTTAGTAGCATAAGGAAAGTTTTATGTTTTAAGATTTTATACAAAATAGTTTTAAAATTACAAATAAAAATTCTCGCATCTTTTTTATTTTTCTGTAAAGTAACTAAAATTTAATATAATTTCTTTTAAAAAACAGGTAAAATCAGCACCACCGTTGCCCGCAAGACGGCCACCTCCATTTGCACCCTGATCCCTGGAGTTTGTCTACTGGTTCTGTGCTACATTGGATGCCGTCACTACGAAGCGGTGGCCGTCATGTCCGTTGGCATCGTGGCCATGGGTTCCATGTTCTCCGGCTTCCTGTCCAATCACATCGATATTGCCCCGAATTTTGCCGGTACTTTGGTGGCTCTGACCAACACGGCGGCTACTTTGCCTGGTATTATAGTGCCCCTCTTCGTGGGATTCGTTACCAAGGGAAATGTAAGTTAACTTGCGTCACTTATGTTCCCCCCTTTTAATTAGTTTCTTGAATTTTCCAGCAAAACATTGGAGCCTGGCGCATCATCTTCGGAGTGACCATTGTCCTGTTCGCTATTGAGTTCCTCGTATTTGTCTTTTTGGGTTCTGGTAGCGAGCAGCCGTGGAATAAGTCGGGAAGCCCCAAGGATCCCGAGGCCAAGGATGAAAAGACTCCGTTGAAGGAGCTCGCCCCCACCAAGCCCTAAATCGCTAATCTCGCTTGATTTCCCTGCCTAAATTACTCGAAGAAATGCTGCTTATTCAGATAACTTTTGGACGAAGCATGCACCACATGAAATGGTCGACACTGGACTGTAAATACCAAAATTACAATTATGCATTGTATGCCCTGAATAATGAACTCATGAAAAAGGAATTTCGAAATGGTCCCCATTAAGATCATATGGAAAACCCTCTTTAAGAGTTCTCCCTTTTGAGTGTGCAATGTAATTTTTAAATCGCTGTAACCCTATAGTTAGTAGCCGTACACCATTACGGATAAACACTTCAGCCCGCCTAATGTACTTAACACTCTTGATTTCAAAAGTTGTCTACAAATAAAGCGACGTCTTAGTGGATGCTTTGAGTTTTTCTATAGATTGGGAGGGGCAGGGAAAATTGGTTTCACCTTCAGTATTGATGGAAATGCCGGGTGAATGCCCGCACTTTCAATGTTTGTTTTTATTTTTAACGCAAACAATATGAGCTTCCATTTACAATTCTACAGAACTCGAAATATTTATGGATGTGAATGATATGAACAAATCCACTGTTTATATATTCTATATGGCATTTTTTGAATTGTGGATGTCACTAAAATGTTACAACTTAAATTGAAAATCCCCACCTATGAAAAAAGCTTTATATCACTTAATTAAGTAAGTATTTAAGTATTTAACTAAGTGGTCAGTTATCAGATCATCTTTTAATTTGGTTTGGTAGAGATTCCTTTGAGAAAGTTACAATAGAACTACATTAAAAATTCATAAAGGACTTTACAAACTTTAAAAGCTTCATAAAACCTATTTTAATTTACTAAATATTGAAGATAAATTGGGAAAATAATTTAAGTTCTTATCAACAAATTGGTTATTATTTTTTGTCATTAATCTTCCCTTATCACTATTTAAATTTCGATTTTTGTGAGCGCCAAAAGCCCAGCGCTCCATCTATCGATAAGCCTGAAGAACCATATGATTTCATGTGATCAGCTTGCCGGTTTCAACGGAGTTTTCTTAAAATGTTGAAAGTCCGCAGCGTATTTCTGCTGCCGAGGAGGTGGAAGAGCGGCGCCAAGAAGCGCTGGAATGTCCTGCAGAACAAGAAGAACAACTGCGACCGGGCGTTGGATAACTTCGATGATTTCTACGGGAGTGTCTACGGCAGCCGGTGGAAGAACATGCGGGCGGCTCTCCTCACGCGGCACAAGTACGTTGCCATGGTCAACAACTTCGGGGACACGGAGCAGATCTGCAGCATGCTGGAGACCGATGGAGCCATCAACATGAAGTCCCTGATCAACCTGGCACAGGATCGCCTGAAGGACAGCGAGGAAACGATGCCGGAACAGGGGAAATCCCGTCATGAAATCGAGCGTAAACTGGATGCACTGCTGCGGAAGCAGCAAGAACGTGAAGTGGCCTCCATTTATCCGAGTTCCGGGGAGGATGGTTCATCCAGTCCACTGCCACTGGAACTGAAGTTTGACAACGTAGTAGAAAAACAGCCGGAGGAAGTCAGCAATCCCTTCAAACAGAGCTTGACAAAGGCGCTGGAGGAGGATGTTAAGCTGGACGAGCATCGCCTGGTGGATCCGCAGTTTGGCACAGGCGGACTCTACGAATACATGCCCGCCCACAGCATCAAGGGCATGGAGGATTGGGTGGCCGAGTCGGAGCACTACAAGTACTACCAGACGAGCGCCGATTTTCCACTCTCCATTGAACCGGAGTCATCGTTCCACTACCCCGAGCACCTCTCACTGTACACCTACGAAATGGGCAACTGCTCCGACTTCAGGGGGCCCAAGAAGTGCCTGACTGGAGTGCTTTCCCACTTCCTGATGGACGGAGCCTCCGCGTTGCCACCTCTCTTCCTGCAAGTGAAGCCTGGCGAGCGGGTGCTCGATGCCTGTGCCTCTCCAGGCGGCAAATCCCTGCTCCTGCTTCAAACCCTCCACCTGGACCAGCTCGTCTGCAATGACATTCAGGAATCCCGGCTGAATAAGCTGCGCAAAGTGATGCAGGAGTATTTGTTTGACTACAAGGAACGCTGGGCGGGCAAGCGGCTCATCTTCAACCAGAGCGATGCCCGCAATCTCGACCAGTACGAGCAGTTCGACAAGATCCTGGTGGACGTGCCGTGCACCACGGATCGCCACGTGCTCAACGAACAGGACAACAACATATTCAAGCCAACGCGCATTAAGGAGCGCCTGCGAATCCCTGAACTCCAGGCGGGCATCCTGGCCAACTGTCTGCGCCTGTTGCGACCGGGCGGAAGTTTGGTTTACTCCACCTGCTCGCTGTCGCCCATCCAAAACGATGGTGTAGTCCACATGGCACTGCAAAAGGTGTTCACGGAGTTCGGCATCACAGCCACCATCAAGGATCTGAGCCGGCACACGGCCCTCTTCAGCGATATTTTCAAGTTTGAGCACCCAAAGGGACTCAAGTATGGACAGATGGTGGTGCCCTACCTGCCGGCCAACTTTGGACCCATGTATTTCAGTAAAATAACCAGAAATGTGTGATTAACTAAGGGAAAAGGCTCAATAAAGAACGGTGAAGCTTTACAAACAGGTTATTTGTAATCTGGGGATTTATAAAATGATGAAATGAAGATATAAATTAAATAACTCATCTGAGAATGATGCCACATATTTTATAAATACCCAAATGAATATCGCTTTAGAATTAAAAAGTACCTTTATATTTATCATACTGTTTCCTTTGGCAAACAGCTGGAACTACATTTGCTTGTCGGTTTTCTTTTTCTTCTTAGCTTTAATGGGCAAAGGTCCTGGGTTCTTGAAAATTGTGCTGCAAAGAAGTAGCTATGATAAGTACAGGTTCTTATTGATTAAACTATCCAAACTTACTGGCAAGTGGTGCATATGGGACTGTATTTGCAGAAGACCGACAGGCAAACCGAGCAGACGTAGCCAATGTCGATGAGCTCACGATGGCAGAAGCAGGAGGCTCGATAGTCAACCTTGGGCGGCGGTGGCAGGACCAACTTGTGACGGATCTGCGGGGCGGGCAGGAAGACCCACAAGAGGTACTGCAGCAGGCCGTCCAGCTGGGTGACCTTAAGGAACTGGCCGGCGGTAATATCACAGCCTTGCTGGAGCAAACTGAGTGTCTTGTCCAGGGCGCAGGTATCGATCACAATGCCCAGTTTTTGGGCGGTAAAGAACACGTTCATGAAGGTCATGTACTGGGAGGCGCATTCATTGCTGCCTGTGAGGACCAGGATGCGGGAGTGCATCTTCACGCCAGGCGCCACACTCCTTTGGAGCTGTAAGAGTAGATTTCTGGGTAAATATTACATTTAAAAGGTCATCCTCTGGGGTTTCCTTACCCTGGATATGTAGCACAGCGCCATGGACATGCTGCCAGCCAGGAGACTCTCGCAAGGAGCACTGAGCCGTGGAGCATTCATCAGGATGCTGCCCAGCTGCTGTTTCACCGTCTTCTCCACGAGGCTAAAGGCTTCATATTGCCCATCTACCTGGCGCAATTCCACTTGTCTCCTGGGCAGAGGGTACAGGAAATTTCTGAAAATAAGTGATGTTTAGAGAAAGTCCATATCTTGTAGATTTCCCACTCACGTGGCATGATGGGAGCAGGATAACACAGCCAGTTTGTTCTGGGCCTTTTGCATTAAATGCGCATTCCCGAAGGCAATCACCGCCTCCAGGATTTGGGTGAGGTTCTGCGGGTTCTGGCGAACGATGTGCTGCGAGGGATTCGTGTCCAGCACGATCACCAGGAGGTCGATGCATGACTCGGCTGTAATTCAGAGCCATTAACAATTGTTTTCCCCTTTTTATTTGGCTTTTAAGACGCACCTTCCTTGCTAGCTGCTTGATCCGCTTCCATTTTCGCCGGCAATGTTATCTGTTATCGTTAGAAATGCGCAGCAATCGATATTTTCAGTAGGGTGACTCAAAAACATTTGATTTCGAACAGTGTTCAGTCTAAAAACCGGACTTTGTGAAATACAAATTTTCTTACAATTTGTTATAAGGGGGATTCCCTAAACTGTTGAATTGCTGAATTGTTGAAAATTCAACAAAAAATTTCAGCAATTAAGGGAACGACCCAAAATGGTTCCTGTTGAATTTTCAAACAGCTGTTATTTGTTGAAAAGTTTCACGGAACTTAAAGCATGTAAAATTTGATTTATTATTGCTAGTAACTGTCTAAAAGTGTTACCAAGGTAAAAAGAACCACAAATATGCTTTCTAAGTTGATTTTAAAATAAATATTGCGTACTGGTGATACTAAAATGTTACAGAGTTGCCACGACTTTTAAAAAAAGGTGACAACTCTGGCTTTTCAGCAATTCAACAAAATTTTCCGCAGCCTCGAGGCTGTTGAATTGCTGAAATTTCTGAAGTTCTGAAAGAACAGCTGATTAACAGCTGACCAAAATTCAACAATTCAGCAATTCAACAGTTTAGGGAATCCCCCTTATATTTCGTAAATTGATTATCCGGAATAAATGATATTATAAGAAATCTATTTTATTTTATTAAAGAAGAAATACTTATGAAAAATATATGTTGTCCATTAATTATTTTAAGGAGTTGATTTAATCATTTAAAAACATTACAGAAATTTTAGAAATTATTTATACTTTTAAATAAAATTCAAGCTCAAATTAAAAAACAATTAATTTTCAAATCCCTTCCTTTGTTTCAACCGTAAACTCCCATCACCATCGATACCCTCGTTATCGTCATCGCTGCCACCTATCGTCTTATTTGCTGGGCGTTTCACCTATTTTTTTGGGGAAAGGAAACAAGAAGGCTCCACAAAGGACACGATGCTCGTTCTGGTACTCGGCGACCTGCACATTCCGCACCGGTGCAGCAGCCTGCCGGCCAAGTTCAAGAAGCTGCTGGTACCGGGCCGCATCCACCACATCCTGGCCACCGGCAACATCTGCACCAAGGAGTCCTACGACTACCTGAAGTCCCTGGCCAACGATGTGCACATAGTGCGCGGCGACTTCGACGAGAACCTGACGTATCCGGAGCAGAAGGTGGTGACGGTGGGCCAGTTCCGCATAGGCCTGTGCCACGGCCACCAGGTGGTTCCCCGCGGAGATCCCGAGGCTTTGGCCCTCATCCAACGGCAACTGGACGTGGATATCCTGATTACGGGGCACACGTACAAGTTCGAGGCCTACGAGCACGGGAACAAGTTCTACATCAATCCGGGCTCGGCAACGGGTGCCTTCAACCCGCTGGACACCAATGTGGTGCCCTCGTTCGTGCTGATGGACATCCAGAGCACCACGGTGGTCACCTACGTTTACCAGCTGATTGGCGACGAGGTCAAGGTGGAGCGGATCGAGTACAAGAAGATCTAGGGTCCTAGTATTAGCCACCAGCCATTCCCAATCCAATCCAAACCAATCCCTGACCGCCTGAGCTTGGCTTTATTAAAGAAATTGTAAATGTACGTAGCAATAAATCAAGTTCTCATTTTTTTATCTGATAAAAAATGCTGACATTTTATTTAAATAGAAAATAAAGTTATGATCGAATGAAATTTTAAAAAATTTTTAGATGAAGATATTTAATTTTAAAATAATTTCCAGCACCCCATTTAAACCACCAGCTTTTGGAATAATTCCCACATTTATCTGGTAAAAAATGTTTAAATTTTATTTAAATAGAATATAAAAAGGGCTTAGATGAAGATGAAGATCTTTATGATATTTAATTTAAAAGCTTCCAAATAACCTGAAAATTCCCAGCATCTCATTTAAACCACCAGCTTTTGGAATAATTCCCACATTTATCTGGTAAAAAAAATTTTAAAATTTTGTTTAAATAGTATATAAAAATGAGATGAAGATCTTTATGATATTTAATTTAAAAGCTTGCAAATAACCTGAAAATTCCCAACATCCCATTTAAACCACCATCGTTTGCAATAACTCCCACATTTATCTGATAAAAAATGTTTAAATTTTATTTAAATAGAATATAAAAAAGAGTTACTTCTGATGATCGAGTAAAGAGTCTGCTTAAAAAGTTCGAATTTCGTGCTCAGTTGCATTACACACTCTCGATATAAATACATTGGGTTCGGTTTTGTGGCCATCGCTTTTCCATCGAAATAAATTATATAAATACTTTCTTCATTAGCCAGGATAGCAATGTTTTGGCAACATTATCTCATCGTTACGAAAAGTTTGATCTAAAAATCTCTGAATTACGAAAACTTTGCGCTTAAGTTTAAATACAATTATGATTGCTGACTGGCTAATGCTTGCTGCTGATGATAGTTGGAAAAGCAACGGATTGGATCCCTTGGAAGCGAATCGCATTAGCCGAGGCTGTCGACGCAAACAGTCTTGAGGGTCTTGCCGGCAATGGTGGTCTTATACTGCTCCGGTAAAGCCAACTCGGTCTGGAAAAATAATTTCAATAAATTAATAACAGAAAACAAGTAGAAAATATTTAAGCTTACATAATCGCCGGAGGCGTCGGGCAACAGGATGTTCATCTCCGAGGACTTGGAGTTGACAATCTCCACGCCCAGCGAGTCCTTGGACAGATACATCTGGCATCCGTCGGTCTTGTCGATCGACACCGTTGGCACCGAACCGAGCACCTGCATCTGGACGCTCTGGCAGTTGACAAACTCCACGGAGGCAACCACCGAGTCGAAGAGCAGCGAGCACTTCTTGCACGAATCGAACACAATGTTGTTCACCTTGCCTTTGACGGTCAGCGTGGAGCCCTCGCAGCGGAACACATAGACCACGTTGTTCATCTCGGCGTTCTCCACCAGCAGACCGGTGTTGTTTTTCTGGTACTCGATGATCCACTTCTTGCCGTCGCGCTCGAAAACGGGCGCCTTGGCAGCGGCAGCGGCAGGAGCAGCAACGGCTTTGCTGCCACCCGCCGATTGGGCGGGCGACTTGAACGGAGCAGGTCCAGTGCGCAGCGAGGGATTCTTGTGGGTCTGCATCTCCCCGGTGACCTTCTTCAAACCTGTTGGGTTTTTATAAATTAGTAAATATTAAAGAAGTTCCATGCCAGTTATGTACTTAGTAAGTAATCGATTAATTTAAGAACTTTTATAGGTTTTATATAAATTCTTCCAAATCGCGAATTCTTAAGAACACTAAGGCACTATTGCCTATACTTGGCTCTAAAATTATTGATTCTTCAAAATAAATAACTTAACTAAGAAACCTAATAATATTTTCTATATTGATTTTTCAAAAACCGCGAATTCTTAGGAACAAGAGAATATGTTTTTGTGGATCATACATCGGTACCATTTGAAGACCACAAGAATTCGCCTGGGCGGAAAAAGTTGAAATCGTATCTTTTAATTTTAAATATTATAAACCAATAACCATCTTGACCTTAAGTATTCGCGACGGGTCGATGAGCTGTGAAAATTGTGATCATTGTCATATTTAAAAATCATTTTTTTTCTTTGGGGAACCTTAAACCCGAACTGATCTACTTGAAAGCCATTTGACTTGGGTCGTTTGGGTTTGGGTATTTGAGTAAATGGGTAAAATTTAACCGAAATATTTTAAAAAGACTTGTCTTGAAATTTGGTTCGGGTACTCAAATAACCCATTTTGTATACCCATGCAGGGCTTTAGTACTTACCCTTGGTAATATCGGCGCCCTGGTTGATCTGGGCGAATAAGGCGCTGCGATCATCGCCGCCGTCCAGCTTGAGGGCACTGAGATCGAGCATCGGTGGTGGTGGCGGCAGACCACCGGGTGGCGGTGGTGGTGGTGCACCACCGGCGGGGGCAGCTCCCTTGCCAGACCAAACCAGACCCGTGGTGTGGTACTGGCGGATGTAGGCCTGCAGTTCGGTCAGCGTCTGCACCCAGGCGCGTGCCCATTCCACATGCGTGACATCCTTCTCCTTCCACTCCTTCAGCACTCGGTTCGTGTAGAACTGGCCGGCGTCATTCATTTCCTTGACATACGGACCCGGGGTCTTCTCCACGCACACCCAACCCAAGGCGGGAATGCTCTCGCTGATGGCCGACAGGTGATTGAACAGCGCCGAGGAGCGGTGCTTCTCGCGGTAATCCTGAATAGCGCTGATCTGCGTCGAGGTTGGTTTCAGGAGCTCCGCCTGCTTGGGCTGCGCCGGCTGGGCAATCTGCGTGGCCAGCGTCACGTACTGCAGTTGGAAGCTATTAAAGGAATTTAATTATTTAATTTTGTATAACAAAAGATGACTCATTTGGGATGACTCACCCAAAGGCGCTCTTCACGAGCTCCGCATGCTGGGCCACATCGCCGCCAATTTTGGCGGAGAGCGATAGATATTGGCTCAGCGGACCCGCCACAATATCCTCGAATCCGGCGACACTCATGTTGCTGCTGGGCGGCGAAGGAGGTGGTGGTGGTGTTTCTACTTTTTCGGCAACTGGAAGAGATTCCTCAACTTCTTCTTCAACTGGTGGAGGCGGGAGTGTGGGCGTGGGCAGTTCAATCGGTTGTGGCGCCGTTAGAGTCCGTTCCAATCGGTCGACGAGGGTCTCCAGTCGCTCGCAAATGCTCTCCAAGTGCTCGACAGCGGCCGTGGGCTTGGCTTCCGGCTCGTTATCTGAACCAGCATAAAGCGTAGAGAGAGCGAAAAATTATTATGGTATTTTTAAAAATTATTCCTTACTATTTATTAAACATTCAGTTTACAAAAGAAAGCGTGATTGACCCCCTAAATCGTGCACTTACAAAATCTGACGAAAAGGCGATAAAAACTGAAGCTTCTCGAGAAGAATCTCTCATCAAATGAGTTTGTGGATGATGATATACTGGTGCACTTAACACTTATCAATTAATGATGCAGAAAAGAGCTAGTCCCAACGAGTGAATGTAATAAACCACATGCAAAAACGGCACAAGAATAAAAAAAAATAGAGAAAATATCAAATGGAACCCTTTAACAAAGTTACTTGACTTGCTAAGTTCTTATAAGCTATTAAAAAGATTTTAGAACCGCTAGGCTCTCAAATCTTTCAAATAGCAAACGTAGTAATACCAAGCCAAGTACCCTTAACATCTGAGATCGAAAAGAACTAAAGAATCGGACTCTATCGAAGCTCGCATACCCCGCACGGCCACGCTGTGCTCGACGGCCGCGTGAGCAGCCCGCAGGAGCTCCGTGTAGAGGCGCTGGCGCTTCAGCTCCAGCTCGTCGCGTCCCACCGGCGTCACCGGTGGCTCGATGCAGCCGCTGGACATGGAACGAGGTCAGAGGAGGCGATATTCAAACAATGCAACTTGTAGAAAAGGTGCGATTGGGGTCAACCTGTTCTGGTTTCAACAAAACTTGATCGATTTCTGTGTTTTAACCAGGGGTCGGAAATTGACACACATGTTAAAAACATGAAAAATTGTATTTTACAGTGTGAGCATAATTTTTGACATGTGTGTCAAATACAAAAGTGTTAAACATAAGCTCACTTATGTTTTTTACACTATGTGTTTTTAACACGACGTGTTTTTTACACACTGTGTTTTTAACACAAATAAAAATTACATTTCACTGACATTTCGAGTCAAAAAGAAAATGAAAAACCAATATGGGTCATGATCTCCTATATGTTAGTTTTAACCATAGCTCGCAAATAACTGTTGACCGATTCGTGCGGTCCCCAAATAACTGTTTTTCTCTGAGACTTTGAGCAAACAATCAGAGAGCAACCGATTGAATTGTTCGTACAGAAATTTTGCTCGCACTCAGCTGACGAGCAGTTTTTTCGGCTTTCTTTTGCTCAGCTCGCTTACAGACGGATTGCTCCTGAACGACGTTTCAAAAAGTCTTTTGCGCATGTGTTAACGTTAACGTGCTTGGGCGATATTGCTCTCCCTTTCACTCGCACGTACTTTCAAAGGGAATACATTGTATAGTTGTATTAGTGAAAAGACTTTTTGCGATGACTTTTTCAGTCAATCGGTCTTTTAATAAGTCTCCCTGTGCGAGCGACATTCGTATCTCTCATTGAACGAGGTTCGTAACAGAGCGTCTCACGAACAGCTCAACGTAAAAGGCTCAACCGAAAACCAAAACGAAAGGAAACGAAGTGTGCTGCGCAGAGAGAGAACGAGGGGCATGCTATTTTCGGTTGTTCTCGGGAGTAGAGCGTAAGGAAAAAAACGGTTAACAGTTATTTGCATGCTTTGGTTTTAACAATTTCACTTTATGTCAAAAACTCATTGTGTTAAAAACACGCTGCGTAAAAAACACGTCGTGTTAATAACAAACCGTGTAAATAATACAAATGACATGTGTGTGTTATTTATGTTTCTAACATATGTAGGATTCAAATTTTTGTCATTTAACATATTAATAACAAAAGTTTTTTACAGTGTATGCTGTTTTCCGAACCCTGGTTTTAGCTTTGCAATTTAAGTTGTTGAGTACTTGAAACCAGAACAGATCCTTTAGAAAGTCAGCATACAGCTCATTGAGTCGCTCGTCGTCGAACCAGGAGGGCAATCCGTGGGCAAAGAACAGTGTCTCCGAGACGACATCCCCCTCGATGTACGGCGCACACATGCTCTCTCTTTTCGGCGGAGGCAGTGAGTCGGAGAACACCTCGTCGTCGTCCAGCAGGGAGCTCTGATTCTGGCTGGCCAGCAGGAGCAGCGGCAGTGGATCCGGCTCAATGATTTCCGCCCGGTTGCTGATGTTCACCTTCTTCTTGATTGACTGATGTGTGGAGTTGTGTCTGGACAGGCAGCTCTTGGTGGGCGGCGGTTGGGGAGGCGGTGTGGTGGGAGTAACTGCAGCCACCACCACCACTTCGTCCGCCTCCTCCGCCTCGCCGCTGGTCATCGAAGCTGGCGGTGCCGTGGATGTGGAAGAGTGCGTGGAGCGGGCCAATGCCTCCGTTTCTTTTGCAGCTGCAACTGGTGGTGGTGGTGCTGTTGCTGGTGGTGATTTATTAGCTGCTTCAGCCTGAGTCGGTTGGGCTGTGGAAGTGTGGCTTAAGATTACTCTACATGAAGCTTAAATTACACAGACGACGACCATCAAGGAAAGCGCCGATACTTAAGTTGATTACTTCGCTTCCTGGTTTCATTATGTTCATTTATCGCATTTAAAAAGCAGCATTTACTAAACTCATGATGTCATGGACGTTGTTTATTAAAAAAACAAAATATTATGAAATGGTTTTAATCACCAAAATATTATTTTCAAGGTCTGAACAAATTTTATATTATTTTTCATGCCTAAAATAAATTGTTTACCTCGTAAAAATGAAAATTGTTGGCGCAATAATTAAATAAATAAAAAAATTCTGAAAAATATAGAAGGTAATCGTTTGGAGAACACTTTAACCTTCAATTAAATTTCTATATTTGTCAGCTAAACTGTGTAGTCTATGAATACATACACGTTGATCGATGTGCACGATTGTAAGGCACGACAAAAATATCTATAGTAAGATATGTCATTAGTTATTCCCCATTAATCAACTGCGTATCGACGCTTTGCCTTGATATTCTTCTAGTACAAAATTTACAGAAATAAACCCAAGAGAAAGCACAGTGAAGACAACTCAAAAGTGTAAAGAAAAGGGCTCTCAAAGCCACTTGAAGTACATGGTTTAAAAAAATAATAAAAGGTAGAAGTAATGGTCAGTTGCAGTTAAATTGCAGTTACAGAGGACCGGCCGGAAACGGCGATTCGTTCCGGAGAGCAAACAAAAGCCGAGACAGCTGTTGAGCTTAAGAACCGGAGGAGAGTACATGGGGTGGTGTACATAATACTTAGGGTTGCGTCAGTACCAGTGTTTGCCCGGGTGGTGCCTTCATCCGCTGGATTATCCGCTTCGATGGTCTGCTTTTCTGCTTTCTGGAGCTCCTCCTTCTGAATCTCCGGCTTTCCGTTCAGTTGGGAATCCCCCTTTTCGGTGACCTGCACTTCATCCTCCTCGTTCTTTTTATCCTTTTCCTTCTTGCCCGCCTTGGGATTCGATCGACAGCAGGAGAACATTTTTGCAGGCGGTACTCAACACTTTAAATACGAATCAAGCACATTATGTAATTTCCGTTTCCAAATTCCGTATTCCCCGTTTTGCTTAAGCGGCGGTCACAACATCAAATCAGCAGCAGCAGTTCGGGCTTTCAAAAGGATATAGCGGCCACTCCTTGCTCACTTAGCTAGATGTGTACATCCTTCGCCCCGAGAATATATTGGCACATTAAAATGAAGGCTCCACGAAATGCTACGGAGTCCGGACCTCCAACTGGGTCAAGTGACAGGACCAAATGACACACAAATGCGATTTACACACGGAGAACAGAGAACACACCCTAAACGAAGCGCACGCCCACGCACTCGGTTTTCGAATGAGATTCGTTTTTCGAACTCGAAAGTCCCTAACAGGACTCTGTTAAGTGCCGAGATTTAACCCCTCTGTTAAGTTGCCTTTTTTGGGCGGTTTTTTCGCGCTGCTTTTGACCATTTCAGGCCAGCCAACCGACTGGCAATGAAAATGTGTTTCATTAATAACCGCTTTTGGCCTGGCATTCAGGATTTTATGCAAGCTTCGATGATATCTTGCACATTTTGCAGCGCAGAGAAAGCTTCAAGTCGAGCTGGAAAATGGAAAAACTCTCTGAGAGAGTTGCGCAGACATTGCATTGATTTCTGTTATACCCTCGCAATGGGTTTACTCTTTTTTACAGAAAGATAACTGAACCGATCCCACAGTTTTATTGGCTTTATAAAGCAGGAGAGGTCTATCAGTTAAAATTTACAACTAGAAGTTATCTATAGATGGTGTTTAAAAATATTCCATGGAAAATACTGGCTTGAAAAATCTATTTTAAAAGACATAATTTTTAAATATTTAAAAGGTATTTTTGTTGAATTTTAAAAAGACTAATTACATGAATTTTAGATAGTTGCTTCCACCAAAATTTGAAAAATATTTGAACTTGACTGAAAACGATGGTTTTTAAAAATATTCCATGGAAAATACTGGATTTAAAAATCAATTTTAAAAGAAAGAATATTTAATAAATCTTTTTTGTTAGTTTTTAAAAAACATGAATTTTAAATGGTTGTTTAAACCAAAACTTTAAAAATAGTTGAGCTTTAATGAAAACGGAACCATCATATAAGAAAAGTCTTTGAGAGATTGATATTTCAGAAATATTCCCGTTTTTATGGGTTTGGATTTGTGATGACCTATAAGTAAACTTTCGAGACAAGTGTATAAAAAGTTCGAATTTCCTGTGATTTCTTTCCCGTTTATTGCGTGTTTTTGTTTTGGCCTTAGTGCAATGAGTTTGTTGCACCGGCGGAGTTGTTGTTTTTGTCTTTAAGTAGCTTAAAACAAATGGCCGGGCAATTACAGTGGAAAATGCATCAGTGTCTCGAAAAGGAGGAGGGGCTTCGGTAGTAAACCGAGATTCAACTTTCGCCTGGCGATACTAGTTCTCCTTGCAGCTTTTGTTGTTGTTTTTGTTTTTCTGCGGCAGATGCGTTTGTTGCGTGCAAAAAACAGAAGAAGTAAAACTGAGAAAAAACTAGAAATCAAGAAGATTAAATGTCTGCAGCTGAGGTACCGTTAGTTAAACCCCCTATGTGTGTGGGTAAAAGAGCTCGAATTACAAGTAATGGAAAATGGCGAGCAGGAAAATCTTTGGCCTTATAAGGCTAGGTGTTATTTTTTTCCACCGGTATCAAACATAACTTTGGTAATCTCCCTCTCTATTTTCAATCGCCATTCGCTGATAAAGCATTTTGGCCATCTTTTTGAGTCATCCGCATACAAACACAAACAAATGGGTTCGGTCTTGCGTAAACTACATATAAAGTTTATACATATAAATTTAATTTTTTGTGACAGTGTGTGTGCTTGTGAGTCAGCAAAAACAAAAACAAAAAATGGCCACAACAGCTGAGTAGTTACATTTTGTTGTTTCTTATCGGGGGTTAGCAATCGCAACGGCACCTGCTAAGGGTTAATTTGCATACACTTGCTGGCAATTAATTTAAATTTTAATAGCATGGAAATGGAATCGGATATGAAATCATCGTTAAAAATACACCATGTAGATTTAATTTTACAAAACAAAATGAATCACACAAAAATAGCCATCACACAGCTGTCTCTTGTCTTTTTGGCTCTCTTTTTGTTGTTGTATATGTACAAACACCCACGGCCAGCAAACACACACACACACGCGAGCAAACGAACACCAACCAGCCCCTCCCCTTAACCCTTATCCTTCAAATTCAGCAGACAGTTTCAGCCGGCGAAAAAGGCTTGCGAAAAAACAAAGCCCCGCTTAAATAGACGCTGTGCGACAGAGAAAGCAAATAGCTGGTGGCACTCACCTTGGTTTTGGCTGTAGAATTGGCAAGGATTCGCAGTTGTTGCTTTAGTAGATCCAGAAGACGAGTCACAGAACCGGCAAAGGCGAAAATAATAGCGAAACAAAATTGGCGTGGCTTTCAGTATGACCAGATGCACCGTGGCGCAGAACGTCAGTTCGTTAACCCTTAATTGGCTTACTTATTGTTGGTATTTTTTATATTTATAATTTGTGTAATTTATTTTTATGAACATTAGGGGGATTCCCTAAACTGTTGAATTGCTGAATTGTTGAATTTTGGTCAGCTGTTAATCAGCTGTTCCATACAAAGTCAACTTTCAGAAATTTCAGCAATTCATCAGCCTCGGGGCTGCTGAAAATTTTGTTGAATTGCTGAAAAGCCAGAGTTGCCACCTTTTTTAAAAGTCGTGGCAACTCTGTAACATTTTAGTATCACCAGTACGCATTATTTATTTTAAAATCAACTTAGAAAGCATATTTGTGGTTCTTTTTACCTTGGTAACACTTTTAGACAGTAACTAGCAATAATAAATCAAATTTTACATGCCTTAAGTTCCGTGAAACTTTTCAACAAATAACAGCTGTTTGAAAATTCAACAGGAACCATTTTGGGTCGTTCCCTTAATTGCTGAAATTTTTTGTTGAATTTTCAACAATTCAGCAATTCAACAGTTTAGGGAATCCCCCTATTAATAAAAACAAATTATAAGGAACCAAAAACATAATAATCTTTAAAATTAAAATAAAGAATAATTTGAAATAATAACGTTTTTGTTGGAAAACTGTCACTACGGTATAGTAGAATAAAAATGTCTTATAAAAATATGCTATCATATAATTAGCAGAGTAACTGTAGGGGGATTCCCTAAACTGTTGAATTGCTGAATTGTTGAAAATTCAACAAAAAATTTCAGCAACTAAGGGAACGGCCCAAAATGGTTCCTGTTGAATTTTCAAACAGCTGTTATTTGTTGAAAAGTTTCACGGAACTTAAAGCATGTAAAATTTGATTTATTATTGCTAGTTACTGTCTAAAAGTGTTACCAAGGTAAAAAGAACCACAAATATGCTTTCTAAGTTGATTTTAAAATAAATAATGCGTACTAATGATACTAAAATGTTACAGAGTTGCCACGACTTTTAAAAAAAGGTGACAACTCTGGCTTTTCAGCAATTCAACAAAATTTTCATCAGCCCCGAGGCTGTTGAATTGCTGAAATTTCTGAAAGTTGACTTTGTATGGAACAGCTGATTAACAGCTGACCAAAATTCAACAATTCAGCAATTCAACAGTTTAGGGAATCCCCCTTGTATTTAAAGTAAATAAGAATATTTAAAAATATAATTAGCTCAAAAAACTAATTATATTTCACAATTGTGTACTGACAAAAAATAAAAGGCTAAATGCCATTTAAAGTAAGGATTGCTCAATGGGATAAAATACACAAAAAATAACCGTATCCGTAATAAATAAATAAATAATAATAAATTGATAAAAAATCTAGATATTAGTTCTTAATTTTAAAATATTACACACGTTAAATAACAGTTTAAGAATAACTTCTTTTGGTATTTTCGAGCCTCCGTCGTGTGGTCACCTTCAAGAACACGTATTTCAATTATTCTGAGAGAGCGCATCGGTTAAAACTTGGACAGGCTTGGATAACACGATGAGCCCGCCGCCCAAGTGACTGTGCAGGTAGCCAAGTGACCCTGGACAACCGTGGGTACGCCGCCGGCTCCCCTGGACGTCGCCTAATCCCCGATTTGCAATCCTCTTTGCAGGTTATGTTCGCTTGTGTACACTGCGACGGGGAACCGAAGAAGCAACAGGAGCGGATTCCTGGCCGAAGAGATTTCCCGCTGGTCGACCAACCGCCCCTGGACTGTCCAACATGATCGAGGTGATTTGCCTGCTGCTGGGCAGGATCCTGCTGCTCCTGATCGGCGGCTACGAGCTGATTTGGCGGCTGCGCGAGCGTCTGAATGCACTGGTGGTCAGGTGGTCATATGACCTTTGGCGCAGCGGAACGGCACGTGAGGCGCACGAGCGGCGCGTGCTTGCGGATTGCCGCTCCCAGTTGACCAAGACGCCGCAGCATCTGGTCCTGGTCATCTCGCCCATGGACGCCGGCGTGGATGCGGTGCTCCTGCGCAGGATCTTTGACTTTGCCCTGGACGTCGGGATCAAGCATGTCAGTTTGTATGATAGGCGCTCGAAGGGCAAGGGCTATGTGGAGCTGGCCGAGATCTGTCGGTCGGCTAGCGAGGAACAGGGTAGCTGCTTCAAGTGGCCACCAGTATTTCCAAGCAAGCAGGAGAACCAGTCGAAGAACGGACAAAAGACAAATGGTTATGTGAACGGGGCCAATGGCTCACATTCCCCTCAATTGCAGGTGAGTTTCGGGGTTTGATAAGCGGGATTAGAAGAACATAGCTTGGAATACCCTTACAGACTTGTTATCTTGCTTAGTTCAAGGTTCAATGTACTTCTTTCATTCAAAAAAGCCAATTACCGCTTGTAATGGTACACAAAAAAAAAAAAACTATGTAAAATCAACTATTTAATAGTGAAAACTGCCCCAACCCATAAAAAATAGAAAATGGCCAAAAAAATAGTAGATTACCTATAAAATAATAGACGACCTACAAAATATTATTTTACCCGAAAAAAATTGTTTTTCTTAATTTATTTTTTTAACTATTTTTAATTTAATTTGTTATATTAATTTATATGGAAGTTATTCATAGACACATTTCACAAATACTTAAAACTTACAAATCAGGATTTTTGCCTCTGGGAATCGGGATTTGAACTCACGACCCAGAGATTATGAGTCGGTTACTCTAACCACCCTAAGTCCAGAAAAATAGTTGACATACAATTTATAAATGTATTCTTAAAACAACAAAATATATGAAGGAAAAAAATAGTTGAGTTACGATATTAATTGTGGTGTTACTATTTAATGCCCCAAAAAATAAAACAACAAAATACACGCAAACAAATAAAATAGTTTTGCTACGATATTAATTGAGACGTTACTATTAATTTGCCAAATGAATAAAACAACAAAATACATGCAGATTTCGTAAATAATAGAAAATAGAGAAATACTACTTTTCTATGTTGATTTTACATAGTTTTTTTTTTGTGTGTATATCAACCTAACCGATTCCCGGAACTATTCGTTCTCTTATCAATTTCCAATTGACTTTTTGGTTTCCCCGTCTTGCAGCTCTATCAAATCAGCGCCTCCGATGGCCATGCTTTAATCGCCGACGTCTGCCGGGAGTTGTACGAGGGCAGGGAGTCGACGATGGTGCAAAATCTACTCAAGCAGAAGCGCGAAGCGCTCACGGAGCAGATCACCGGGATGCTGAACAAGCGCCTGGGATTTGAGGCACCGGAACCGGAGTTGGGCATCGTGTTTGCCCGGCAGACCTGCACATACGGCCTGCTGCCGTGGCATGTGCGCTTCACCGAGTTCCACACGCATCCCAGCGGACGCCATTTCGACGTGGAGACGTTCGCCAACATCCTGTGCAAGTACTCGCGATGCGAACAACGATGGGGCACGTAAACGCAGCCCCCCGTATATTAACTAGTTACCTTAACTTTATGTAAATTATCGCCAGGAATTCCTTTTAGTTCGTAAGAATAAACCACAAAAGTGTATTGTTCATAAAGTGAAGTGTATTCAGGGCAGGGTTTTGCGTTTTAAGATCGATTTGTACAGCTGCGCTTAAGTCAATAGCATTGTTTAACCTTTAAAAGAAATATTATCTTGTAATTTATATAGTTTTGCAATGCTATTACTTTAAGCGCAACGGTTAGATGTTTATGTTTACATGTAAGTGGGCAGACTTATTCGCTATGGTTAGGAGTATTGTATTTTGTTAATTCCTGGGCCAGAGCCCCTCTTCCCTTTTACTCCCTTTCAGACTCAGCATGGCGCTTGGACAGGAGATTCACATCGGTGAGATACTTGTTCTTGTCAATGTTATGCGGACCCGGACCCGTGGGCATCCGCTCGTGCAGCACATGGAAGGAGTTGCGCAGATCCTCGAGCGAATCGGCCAGGCCCTTCTTGATGTTGGCGAACTCGCTGGACATCAGCGACAACTTGCCCAGCAGATAGTTGAGATTCTCGTCCATGTCGATCATGTGCTTCTTGGTGTCCTCCACCTTGCTGCCCAGTCCCATCATCGTGGCCAAAGTGCTGTTGATATAGCCATCGGAGGCGGACTGGATCACTCCTAGCATTTCCCTGCTCTGGCTAATCTCGCCGGCCATGATCTCGATGCGGTGCCACACCTGATTCAGCTCGGTCTCCAGCAGTCCGCTGATGTTCTTGTTTGCCTCCTGCTGGGTGCTCACCACCGTTTCGTCCAGTGCCGCGAATCGCTCCTTCAGCAGCTCGCTCAACTTGTTCATCTCCACCTCCAGCAGTTTGCCCACCCGCTGCACCACATTCAGCGTTCCGAAGTCCACCTTGCGCTGGGTGTCCAGCACCACCTCCGAGTTCGTCATCATGATGTTGTTGAACTTGCCCAGAGCCTCCAGCCCCTCGTTCAGCTTGGCGCTGCTCTCGTTCGTCGAGGCGAAGTATTTGTTGAGGGTGCCCAGGTCGGTGGAGAGCTGACGAACGTCCGCCTGGATATTGGCCTCCGTCTGCTGCAGGCGCTCCGTGGTCTCCGTTGCAGCTAAGCGCGGAAAGGAGGTGAATATTAAAGAAGGTTTTTGGGAAAAAATATATAAATAAAATCCTCCTTTGTGGAGTGACGCTTAAAAATTTAAATTAAATTTAATTTGAAATAATTGTAATGCCCATCTTTAAGTTATAAAGAAATATTAAGCTGTTTCTGTAAAAATTATGCCTCATAATGTCAAAAATTCAAGTTGAAATGCTTTAAAAATAAAAATTCAGGCTTAGATTTTTTTTTAATTTTAGGAGATTTTGAAATACTATTTTTTAGATAAACCTGATAGGATTAACAAACCTAAACAATTATAAAGATGGTTAGTTTTAAAAAGTTTCCTAGAAACAGAACAATTACATTATAATCCCTATTTTAAACATGCTTAGTTTAACAAGTTTTTTAGAACAAAAGAATAATAAGATAATCCTTGTTTTAAAGATGGTTAGTTTTAAAAAGTTTCTTAGAAGAGAGCCATTTTTTTCAATTTCAGGAGATCTTGAAATATTATTTTTTTAGATCAACCTGGTAGGACTAACAAACCTAAAAAATTTTAAAGATTTTTTTAAAAAGTTTCTTAGAACAGAACAATTAAAATATAATCCCTATTTTAATAGGTTTCTTAGAACAGAACAATTAAATTATAATCCCTTTTTTAAAGGTGGTTAGTTTTATACAGTTTCTTAGAACAGAACAATTATAAAAAAATCCCTATTTTAAAGATGGTTATTTTTAAAAAAGTTTCTTACAACAGAACCATTATAATATAATCTTTTTTACTAAATTCTTATCTTAAATTAAACCCACCTGATTTCTGAACCGCTGATGTCTCGCTCTTAAGTTGTGCCAAGGCATTGAGGGTTTCGTTATTCAGTTCCTGTATGTAGGCCCGATCCTTCTCGTTCAGGCCGACTGGAGCGGCAGGACGCTGAACAGTCTCACTCAACTCGGTAACCTTTCCGCCCAGCGAACTCAGGCGGTCCAGGAGTTGGGCCTCGAACTCGTTGTCCTTCGGCGGAGCAGCGGTGGTGACGCTGGCGGAGTGCTCCTGCAACTTGGCCTCGATCTGCGACAGCAATTCCGGTCCCTTGGGCAGACTTTCGAAATTCTTTTGCGCTTGGTCGGCTGCCTTCTGGTTGCTCTCCTTCAGCTTTTGGATCTCCTCCAGCAACTTGGCGTTGAAGCGCTTCTGCTCCTCCAGGAACTCTTTCGGGATGGCGGGAGCAGCGGGCGCAACTGGTGGAGCAATCAGGTTGCCACTAACTGGTGGCCTCTTGAAGCACTCGTCATTCTCCCTCATCCACTTGAACATGTGATCCGTGGCCTGGTTGAAGCGATCCGACTGCGCATTGTACTTCTCCTCTTGCTGAAAATCAGAGGGTTAACAAAAAGCGGGTTAAAAATCCTAGATGGTATACCATTTTCCATAAGAATTTAAAGAAAATTTTTAAAAATTGTTATACAACTATGTATATTCAAATGTCTTAAGAAACACAACTAGTAATACACCAAGCAATGAAATTGATATAAAACGTAGATCGATTTTACATTATGTAATATTAATTTTAATTTGATATGAGGCCAGGTAAATTTGACCTGGTCGAAAATAGTATTTCATGTAAAAACGAAATGGGTTTTGCATGATTTACATGGCCATATCGATTTTACGGGAACATACTTTTTTGTGTGTTTTATTTAGCTATGTACTATTGTTCTTCAAAGTATTTTAAGAGTCATTAATATTAATATTTGAATAGAATTTCAAAATTGTAAATAAATCAATACATAAATTGGAATATAAATAGAATGTATTATCTTTTATATTTTTTGCATTTACCAAATTAACAATTTAAATTGATTAATTAAAGTATGTTGAGAAGTAATGAGATAGCCAATGATTTTATCCCCCACTTACCGTAATCAGCATGGTCTCTATTTGGCTGACCCTCTCGTCCAGTCGTCCGAAAATCCCATTAATGGGCTCCAGGCTCTTCTGACCCTTTTGAAGGGATTGCAGGGCCTTCTTCAGCAGTTCGCCCAAGGCGCGTTCCCGATGCTCGTGTCGCTCCAACTTATTGTCCAGCTGGTTGTAGGAGTAGATCAGCGACTGGATGGTTCCACGCAGCTCCTCGTTGCTGCAGAGAGTCGGGGTATTAGGGAATTGCTTAAAATTAGCCTCGCTCTGGGCCATTAATCATCGGAGTGGGGGAATGGGACCACCACCAACACGAACGTCTATAAATATTGAGGGGCGCGATCGGATGGGATAAGTGGTGAATGGCTGATGGCCGGGATCTCAGGGTCAGGAACCCTATTCCACTATTCCGAAAGCTGTTTGTGTGAAATGCATTGATGCTGATGGATAGAGCATAGCTATATGAGAGGGGAACATGAAACATATGCTACTATCCCCATTTGCATGAAGTGTGCAGTGAAAACATGCCCCCAGTCCCCAACCAGAGTACGAAAATAAACAAACATCTTGGTTTCCCTTTGAAGGCATTAGTCATTAGGCATGGGATGCATCCATTCCATATCCATGCGATGGCCCCAGGCGCCGACAACTTCTTTTAGTTTTGAAGTCTTGCACATTTCGCTAAAAACTCCTCACAGTGAAGGGTACTACATATATGGGAGGAACCACTCCGGAGCCAAGTGCGAACGAATGTATGACATGTGTCAAATCCATAAAACGTCGGGGCTACAAATTCTAGTTCCTTTGAATCCAGATTTCGGGGGCGGGGATTCCGAAAGTTTGAGCATCCAATTACCGCCCCTTGCGAGAGATACGATCGCGGAGTTATGGTTTCTGAGACCATCGGATGCAAAGTGCCTTAATTGGGCCCTTAAAACTGGGAAATCTTAATGGTTTACGAGTTTTTATGTTTCAATGAGATTGGGAAATTAAATAGGGAGGGAAGCAGAAAATTATTAGGAACAAGTGTAAGTAAAATATAATATTTCTTTCATTTTAATTTTAACAATGATATTAATAGGTTTCTAGCTCTTTGATGAATTTTAGATTCCCAGCACTATAATTTTTGAAAAACTAATATTATATTTTCTACTATATTCTGCAAAGACAATGGTTTGTTTTTAGTTTTTATATAATCCGATACCCACATTTCAGGGGAGTTATTTCCCCTACTTTCAAATTTGAAAGTTTGAGTATTTTTTTGAGTATTTTAGACATTTTTTTTTTCGGAAAATTGATATTATATTTTCTTTTATATTCTGCAAAACCAATAGTATAGGTAGATAAATTATTTTTATAATAAATTATCTGTTAGTTTTCCTATAATCCGATACCCACATTTCAGGGGAGTTATTTCCCCTACTTTAAAATTTAAATAGATCGATCTAGTTTACTTACGAGACTGGGCCCGCTGCAATCGTCTGCCATTGTGCGATTGCAATTAGAGCTAGGAATACTAATTGAAGTGTCCGACTTCCTCCGCCCATGGTTCGTCTATAAAGTGCGTTCTGATCCGATCCGATCTTTAATTGGGATGCTGATATGCAAATCCACTGCGTGACCTGTAGAATGAGCGAATGGTTATTAAAAATAAATTGCAATGGCGTCGTTTCCTTTCCTGACTTGCATCGGAAAATGTTTATCGCTAGTAACTATGGTATAAACAAATATAGGCAAATTTATGTGCAATATTTATGGGGGCGCAAACAAATAATAAAGAAATGCCACTGATTTGCAGCTGAAACAACTGCAAACAAAGCGAATTGGTTCCTTGTCCGGATAGACCTCGCTAAAAATGTGCATATATAAGCATATAGAACGCCATATAATCGGCGATATTGTTCTTGCCGCGATAAACAAATGACGAAAAATATCCACTGGACAACTGCATGTTCCAGATTCTCCTTCAAAAGGGAGAGGAAGTGATGCATTGAGGAAATTGGGTCAGAAATAATTGAGTGAAATTTACGATCGCAAAAATAAAAAAAGCCACCGTTAATGAGTAAAAAATTGAAAATCTCATAAGATAGGGAGAATGTATTTGCGTTGATAAGGACTGGGTTAAAGGTTGATTAATGATGAGGAGCTCGTGTTTTATTTAATAATTAAAAGATAGTTGATTTTCTAGATTATGTTTTTCAATAAAATACTCACTTGACTGGAAAAATAAAAAACTTAAGGTCAGAAAATACTTCAGAGTCTTGCACTTGGATCACTTGGGTCTAAAATCGGAGCACTACCACTAGACGTCCTCACAGCTCGAGTTGAGAACGAGGAATGATGCTGGGCTGTGCCGACTATTCCGGAGTGGACTTGGATCCGTATTCCTCCCCGATTTCGGTGCTCTCCGCTCTCCGTCTTTCTCAGCTGCTGGAGATTGGCGCACTGCATATGTTTTTTTAGTAATTAAAATTGGGAGATGATGAGAAGTCAAGTCGGGGTGCCATCGAATCAAAATTCAATTTATTCTAATACAAAACCATTGAGCACAATGCAAACAAATGCTATGGGTGACGAACTCTTGATGGTTTTGCGGCAAAATCCAAGACAATTAAAAGCGAACATCCCGAAATGATTGATTGAGATGCTTAGGGATCTCGATATAATTGAATTCTGCTGGCGCCAATTCCAGGAATTTGGAGTAAAAATTAATTTGTTTATTTGTGGAATCTAAAATAAATAAAAATAATATACATTTATATTTAAATATCGAAAAAACATGCAATTAAAAAACTAGAGAAGATGATAATTTTAAAAATCTTAAATAAAACCTACATATCACCGTTATTTATTCGAAATTCCTTTTGGCGCCAATTCATGGAAAAGGAACATTCACCTGGAACAACAAACGCTTGCAGATTGCGAATGGCATTTCAGCTGGAGGCAAAGAAGAAGATGCATAAATAACAAATATTGCCGCAAAAATAAATAAACCATTAATATTTTAATACAAAAAGCCATAATATGCCCACCCTGATAGCACTGGATGCCTCGCTGTCGATGCTTCGTCCTGTTCCAGGACGCAATGAGCACACCTACCAATCGCTGGCCATCAAGGGCATCCAGCATCTGCTGGACAACCTGACGGCGGCCGGGAAACTGGAGCACCTTGCTCTGCTCTCCTACTCCACGACGGCGGAACTGAAGATGGACTTCACCCGGGACTACGACCAGATCCGGCAGGCGGTCAAGAAAGTCGAGCCGGTGGACAAGGCCTGCCTGATGAGCATGCTCAAGGCGGTGGTGTCCATTATGTCGCCGTGGGGCAACCAGAATGTCCTCCAAGTGGTCGTCTTTACGGATTGTGGTCTGGGTTTTGGCAACACCTCGATCACAGGCTTCCTGGAGGCCTATGCCGAAAAGGAAACGGAACCGGAGTTCAGCTTCCTGAAAACCCTGGCCAACTATAATTTAAACTTCATCTGCTTGGGTCTGCACGGCGATCATTATTTCACCAGGGGATTGGCAGTCTACCAGCAGCTACTGGACAAGGTCTCCCTGAAGGGTGAGTTAGCAGGGTTCGGAAAATAGCACACACTGTAAAAAACTTGTGTTATTAACAAGTTAAATGTTAAAGTGTTAAGTTCAAAAAAAGTTATTGACTTGTGTGTAAAAAATTGTATCCTACATATGTTAGAAACATAAATATCACACACATGTCATTTGTGTTATTTACACGACGTGTTATTAACACGACGTGTTTTTTACGCAGCGTGTTTTTAACACAATGAGTTTTTGACATTAAAAAATATAAAAAAAACGCACGGTTTTCAGCGTATAAGAATTCATAGATGCTTTGAAATGGTTAAAACTAACATATAAGATATCATGCCCCATATTGGTTTTTCATTTTTCCTTCGACTCGTTAATGTCAGTAAAATGGAATTTTCATTTGTGTTAAAAACACAGTGTGTAAAAAAAAAGTCGTGTTAAAAACATATTGAGTCAAAAACACAAGTGAGCTGTGTGTGTTAACAATTATTTTTTACATTTTAAATTAAATTAAAGTAAATTAAAATTTGTCAGGTTTTTAACATGTGTGTCAATTTCAGAACCCTGTGAGTTAGTGAAATCTATAGATTTACAACTAACTAATGATCTGCTTTCAATTCCAGGCCAGCTGTTCATGACCAAACCAGCCAAGACACCCGAAACAGTCGAGGGAAATCCCAATCCCAACCCGAATCCCAGCCACAAAAGCGAACTGGGTCGCACTACGGTCTTCGAACTCATCGAGAGGCTTTGTGAGTCCAGCTACAAGTCCTCGGAGGTGACCCTAAAGTGCGGCAGCTACTTCCGCATGGAGGCGCCCGTTTTGCTCTGGCCACCGACGGCTCCCTATGAACAAAAGTCTTTGGTCTTTGGCCGCGAACCCACCACTCGTCACATAGATCAAAGGATCGAAGTGTGCGGTTTTCTAGCCCTTTCGGATATTGGTTCCCCGGCTACCCTAAGTCGTCATTGGGTGCTGCCGAAGGTGGAGCGGGAAAAGAGTGGCGGAAGCCGAAGATCTGGAAGCTTGCCGCCAGCATCCAAGCCACCGAAACTCAATCTGGATGCCAGCAATCCCAATTACGAGCTGGAGAAGCTGGAAACCGATATACGCGAGTTCTACGCCAAGGATCCCAAGGATACCGAAGAGAGTGGCGATGATGATGTGACCATTGTACTGAAACCTGGTCCCCAGACGGAGCAGCAAAAGGAAAACCTTTGCGTTCTGCTTCACGGAGCCCTCAAAATGGAGAACATGGCCGCGTTGGTGAGAGTGGGCGAAAAGTGGTACGGATTCATATACGCATTCACCGATGGCAAGAAGAAGTCCAATCTGATGCTGAACATTCTGCCGCCTGGCACAAATGTGATACCCTGGGTGGGTGATCTTGAGTTGCTGGGATTCCCCGAGGATTTGGCTCCTGGCGAGACGGCCAGCTTTCCGGTGCGCGCCGATCGGCGATCCTATTCGCAGAGCAGTGTCGTTTGGATACGACAGGCCAGCCTGCAGTCCGATGTCCAGAAGGTGTTGCGGCATGCCAAGAAGATGCCCGACAAGACGCAGCATTTCTACAAAGAGCTCAATCGGATTCGTCGCGCTGCTTTGGCCCTGGGATTCGTGGAGTTGCTGGAGGCCTTGGCCATGCTGCTGGAGAAGGAGTGCGCACATCTCAGCCTGAATGGAGCCAGCAACGAGTGCACGCTGCAGCTGCAGCACGCGGCCACTGAGCTGCGAAAGACCTCGAATAGGGATATCAAGTCCACGATTATACCGCTCCAGAAAGTGGGGGCTTCCGATGCGGGCAGCACAGCTGCCACGGCTCCTGCCCCCGCGTACATGTATTAAAATATATATTATGACTTTTATAAAAGAGTTGCGTTATTTTTGGTTCTGAAAGCTAAAATATAGGGGTATAAGTAATATGTGGTTAAATATTTCTAAGGACCTTTATAGTTTTTAATGACTATTTGCAGCTTAAAAAGTCTTTAAAAAATCCAGTTTTAAAATTGAATATTTCTGAATTTTACAGCACTTACATTTTTGAGTAATGGTGATTTTTTTTGTTTTAAAATTAGAATTACAAGAGTATGGGAAACAGTTGATTAAATATTTTCAGAGATATTTTTTAGTTTTCAATATTTTGTACAGCTGTTTTTAATTTTAATATTCTTTAAAATTTAAATGTTTAAGTTTAGCGGTAATGTTTAAATATTTTTGAATTTTACAGCACTTGACTCTTTGCCTATCGTTATCGATGACAGAACTTTACATTTCGGACGAAAAATAATAATAACATGGGAAGTCCGGAATTACCCACGGATCCTGGACAGGACATATTTCCAACTCCAACGGTTGAGCATCCGCGGGGAGGAGTGGAGAGCGACGAGGACGATGATTCGGACGCGTACGATGGCTATCAGCCACTCGCCTTGGATGAGGAGAACGATGGAGCGGATCTACAGGAGAACCCAAGGGAACCGGAGGCTCCAACTGGGGAAAACGATGGGGACCTAATGACGGCTGAAGTCACCCATGGTGACCCCAACATGCCGCCCATTGAGCCCGCTGATGTGGAAATCGAGAGACAGGTGTGGAGTGAGCCAAGACCCAGGGAACTCCAGATGGATTTGGATAAAACAAGAACAGAGCAGGTTAAATATTCCCTTTAAAAATGGTTAAGATATTCTAGTAATCCCCTTGCTTCTATTTCAGATCCTCAAAGCCATGTCCACGATTACCTTACCCAACATCACCGTTCCAGATTGGGCCAAAGGAGTTCCCGAGGAGCGCTGGAAGCATGAGCTTCTGGACCGGATAAACAATCGACAGCAGCCGCCAGAAACCTCATCTTCATCTGCGGACAATCCCCAGCATTCCAAGTCCAAGAAAGATTAGCCTTGTATATTTTTGTGTATTTAGAAAAAACGTTCTCCAATATATTATATATATATAATTTAGAATGATCGGTGCAGAGATCCTAGAAGGCAGCCAGCAGGGCCTGACCCACCAGGTTGACCTTGCTGAAGTTCTCGCCCTGCGGCGTGTTGGTCAGCTCCCGCAGCTTGTCCATCACATAGTCGACGGAGACCACCTGGGCGATGGTCTCCTGGCCGCAGGAAGTGGTGGTCAGGTTGCCGATGGCCTGCATGGAACGGTAGCACGCCTCCAGATCCTTGGCCCACTTGAGCAGCTCCACCACGCCGGAGGTGACCACATGGCACACCTCCGACTTGGTCACGCTCACCGTTTGGGCAATGGTGAGGTTCAAATAGAAGGTGGCCACTGCAATCTGCAGGTTGGCGCTGCCTGTCTTGATCCCGCCCACCAGTTCTATGATCTCCGGCAGTCGCGACTCCACCTGCTGCCGTCCGGTCGAGTGGCTCAAGCTGTTGGCCAGGCAGCGCACCACCATTAGCTGATTGGCCGCCGATCCAGTCAGTTGGGGAATCACAATGCCCAGGAAATTGTGGCTGTTGTTTAGGACACTAAAGATGGGCTCATTGCGCACGGCCAGGCGAAGGATGTCCAGCACGGGAAAGAGCATGGCCGCCGGCCACTTCAGCAGGATGATCAGGGCTTCCAGAGAGGTCAAATCGAGTTCAGGGGTTTGCTCGGTGAGTTTAATGACAGCCAGCAAGACTTCATCTCCCACTTTTCCATCGGCAGGCGTTAGTTTGTTATTAAATTCCCTGGAAAAAGAGGAGTAATTAGTTATAGTTCAACTTAAGTAATAGAGTCCTGCATGAGTGAACTTGAAAGTCAATAATTAATTTAAGTTAACTTGGATCACTTTCTTTCATTTGATTTTTTTCATAAGGAAAAACAAGTGATTTAATATAAAATAAATAGATATAAAATACTTTCGAATCACCTAAATAATTTGCTTAGTAATTTTATCACTCCCACTCACTTTTATTCTGTGCTTATATCATTTGTTTTTCCTTACGAGTGATTAAGTGATCAAAGTTAACTCACTTGAACTTACTTACTCTATTTTTAAAAAATGTACTTGTTTGTCAATTCAAGTGTACTTATGCAGGACTCTATTAAGTATATGTCTAAACCCACTTCATTTTCTCCAGCACCTTCTTCGAATCACAAGTATCAAAAGTGCGATAGCTGCTCACGGGGAAATGCTTGTCACCGGCTCGTACAAAGTTCACATCCACCTGCGATTGGGCATTGCTACTGGCTGTGGAGTAGCTGGATGCTCCCGTAAAGGGATCCATATTGCCGCTACCCCTTACATTCGTATTGCTCGAGCCGGGAACGTAGCGAGAGCCGCCGGTGAAAGGATCCTGATAGCCAGTTGGCGCCTGCTCCATCACCATCGGCCCACCTTCCGAGTTCTTCACTATAAAGTTGGCCACCTGATCGAGATAGGCCTGCGGCAGATTGTGGCGATGGATGAAGGTCTGGGCCGCCTGCCAGGGATCCTCGCCGCGGTTGTAGGGCAGCTTGATCGGTGGCTCCGTGTCGGAGATGTCCACGTTGAACACAAAGTCGTACTCCTTGCCCTCGTGCAGTTTCTTGCCGGAGCTGGCTTGCGTTCCTCCCGAGGCACCAGTTACATCGCCAACCAGATTCCAATTGCCCAATTCCCAGCTGTAGCATTTCACAGAGCCATCCGGATGGCGGACCATCTTCGTTTGCCCATCGCGGGTTCCATTGGACAGCAGGGCCTCGGGACCTGGAAGGCTAAAAAAGGATTACTTGCTAACTGAAGCTCAACAAAAGAGAACGCTATAGTCGGGTTGGTGTCCCGACTATCTAATACCGGTCACTCGGCTAAAGGGAAAGCGAGGAAGATGGATATGTACAATTTTGATTGCGCATAACTTTTTAATGAATTGTCCGATTTGAAAAATGTCTTCTACATTTCGATAGGTATAAATATAGACAACAAAATTTCATTTTTATACTTCTAGGAAATCTTTAAAGTTGTGGGCGCCAGACACATTTTAAAATCGTTAATGGGCGATTGTGGGCGTGGCGCTCGGATGAAATAAACTTGCGCTGCGTAGAAAGCCCAAGAATATGTGTGGGAAATCTCAACCTTCTAGCTTTTGTAGTTTCCGAGATCTGAGCGTTCAAACAGACAGATAAGCGGACAAGTAACGGGTATAAAAATGGTAATCAATCGAAAAACCTACTCTGTTTTCTTGACACCTCCAATCTCCTCATTCATCTGCGACTTCCTGGTGGCCACAGCCAGGTCGAAGGCTTTTAGGATTCCCTCGCTGGCCTGACGAGCCGGAACCTGGCTGAATACCCTCACCACACCGTCGCTGCAGCCGGTGACAATGTCGCCGTTCTTCAAACAGGCCACCGACCACACCGAAATGGCGGGATGGATGATGGGAGCGCCCAATTCATCGCCGGTGATCACATTCCACATGCGCAAGGTGCTATCTTCGCCGCAGGAGACCACCACTTGATCGCCGAGAGCCTGATTCCGGTCCATTGAATAGATGTAGTTGGTGTGACCGCTCAACTGGCGGACGCACTCGCCATCCTCGTTCCAGAAACGCAGGACAGCATCGTTGCCGCAGGAGAGAAGTGTATTGGCCTCCAGGCCGATCAAGCCCCTCACGCAATCCGTGTGTCCTTTGAGCAGCCGCAACTTCTCACCCTTCGAGTTCCAGTAGAAGATGTTCTTGTCGGCGCCACCGGTTACGTATTTCTGCTGCTCCTTCAAGGTGGCCACTGCCCAAACGGCCGCCTCGTGACCTTCTAAGGAAATAAAGGTGACATCTCCCGCCTCGCTGATGGTCCAAACCCTCGCGGTCTTGTCCCAACTGCCGCTGATGAGGCTGCGCGGCTCCAATCCTTCGGAGAGGGCGCACACCGTGGAGCCGTGACCCTTGAGGGTGAGCAGAGGCACAAAGCCGTCCTGCTGGTAAATGCAGATGGTGGCATCGTTGCTGGCCGTGCAGATCCACTGCTCCGACTCCAAATAGTAGATGTACGAGATGAAGTTCTTGTGGTCCTGCAGGGTCAGGCTCTCCAAGTACTCATTGCTGGGAAAGGGAGGATTATCGAGGAGGATTAGGATGGGGATTTGAAGCTATTAAGCATGGCTATCTTACCCCGTGGGCTTCCAAATCTTGGTGCTCTTGTCCCTCGAACCTGAGAGAATCACCTGTCCTCCTTCGGGGGTTCCTCCACCCACCGCCACCGCCCGCACATCCATGCTGTGACCCAGGAGCTCGCAGCTCAGCTTGTAGTTGTCCAACGTTGGCTCCATTTCCGGCCTGCTTTGCTATCCTGTATCCTGAATCCTGGTTTTCCTGCTACCGAAGCTCCGTGTTCCGTGTTACTTTGTTTCGCCGGCTTTTGCCATTCACTGCGAAAAAATCTGCACACTCAGATAGTGGTGGGCCAATCCAAGCGGTCAAGGTCAATAAACCTCATGCGATAGTTCCTAATTATATTTATCAATTTAAATTTAGGTAATAAAATAATATTTTTTATTTCTGTTTAAATTACAGATCAATTTAAATTTACCTTTATCAATTTAAATTTAAGTAATAAAATAATAATTTGCATTTATATGCCAAGAAAATTAAGAAAATTTGTTTCTTCTGTTTTATTTACAGATCAATTTTAATTTAAATTAATATTTTTAACCATAAGAAAAAAACATAGTTTTGATTTAAATATTATTGAACAAATAGTATTATTATCACTGTTTATCCAAATAGAAATGAAGAAGTAAGAATTGTAATGCATTTTTTTACCTTCAACATAAGTACTTAAAAAAGTATCGATACTTAAAAACGTCATCAGCACCATTATTATCCAGTTTGCCATCCCTATGCCAAAAAGTATTTAATTATTTTGTTTACATTTTAAGAAATGGGTGGAAAAAGTTATTATTGCGACTACTGCTGTTGTTTTATGAAAAACGATTTGAATGTGCGCAAATTGCACAACAGTGGTATTTCCCACACAATTGCAAAAACCAATTATATGAAACGTTATGAGGGTAACAAATTTATAAACACTATACGAGAATATTTTTTATAATTTAAATATTTTAGATCCGAAAAAGATATTAACCGAAGAGCGCAGGAAAACTCCATGTAAGCGATACTTTGGTGGCTACTGCAAATTTGAAATGTACTGCAAATATGGTCACTATAGTGAGAAGGAATTACAAGAGCTGGAAAAATTAGGTAAGAAATAATGCCCCATGTATAAGAAATGAGATTTTAAGTTTACTTTTACCATTTCAGTTCTTGCTAAAAAGAAGTCAAACTCACGAAAAAGAAAGAAATCCACAAAATGGCCCTGGAAAACTCATTTGCAAACAGGGTTGCCTTTATCTTTACAACCCATTCAATTAGCCAAGCTCAAAAAAACCAATTTTGAGCTAAGCTGGGGTTAATTAACAAATATATATATATTTACATAAGCACATTTAATGTCAAGTATTCAATATGCCAACTACTTTCTCCATGACGCGTGCCACTTTCAGGTTAATCCTTAATGTCCGAGCATATTCGTAGTGAAACGATTTCGGTGAGTGCATACTCAAGTTCTCCTCATCCGGATCGGCCAGGTGAGCCAGCAGGAAATAGCATAGGTGTTCTGTAATAAAATATTATAATAAAATACTGATTAAGTCAAACTTTCCAAATCAATCAGTAAATTATAGAATACCCACCCTGTTCCCCTTCGACGGCATAGAAAAGGGGCGTATTGCCGCCCCTTGCCTCGGAGGCATTAATAATGTTCAGCTTACGTCGCCGATTCTTCAACTTGTGTTTGCTCATCTCGAGTCTTTCGCAGGCGCGATCGTAGTACTTGGCAAAGGCCTTCTCGTCCCTTTCATTCGGAGTCTCCTGGGTTCTCCTGTACACCGGATCCCCCAAATCCCGCTCGTCTATAATGTCCAGTATCGCTTCCGCAATCAAAAACTGATTATTACGCACGGCCAGGTGCAAAACTGTGTAACCATCGTCGTTGGTCAGCAGTAGACTATTAAGATCGATGCGGCGCATCAGTAGCCTAATCGACTCTATATTTATATTGTTTATCACCGCCAGGTGGAGCGCTGTATTTGAGTTCTCGTAGAGGTGATCGGTCTGGCAGCCAGCCTTCAAAATGATCGATATGATCTCCGGATCCGTGTCGTGGGTGAGGGCAAGTTCCAGGCAATCTTCGCCATCGTTGCTGACCAGTTCGTTGATGTCCACGTTGGCGTGATCGCAGACGAACATCTGTCGCTTAACGCCGTACACATCACCGTGAAGTATTTCATCGTGGATGGGCCTAAAAGGTTAGGATGATATCATATGATGAGTCTTCGATGATCTCACTTGATACTCACAGCAATCCTTCTTCGGACATTACACGCGCATTCTTGAATGTATTGGCCATAATGCGTATAATCCGGTCCTTGCTGCTGCCATCTATATAGTCCTCCACCCTAGTGAGCGCATCCAAGTCTATGGATATATCGGAAAAGCCGGAGTTGCGACGCAGAGGGGTTGCATTAGAGTTTCGATTTTTCCCTGAATTTGAGGAATCCTATAAAAAAAATATGTTTATGGTTTATATCAGTGAAATCAAATATATGTATTTCCTTGTTATTTAGATAAGCGGCTGAAATGAAACGTTTCACAATTCTGACTAATTTTGCCTTAGAAACAATAATTATCAAAACGAGTCATTGTATTGTAATCTAATTTTCTAGAAAAATATTTTTATTTATTTATTTATATAAAGCAAACTTAAAGTTAAAACTATAAGCTAACTGAGCAGCTAAGAAAAATATGAAAAATGAATATTTTATATTTTTACTTACTGAAACCTCCTGCTTTTTCTTCTTGGTGACCACGGGAGTCAATTGCTTCTCCTCCCGCTCCTGGAGCGCCATTTCGGCCGCTGATCTCTTGACCACCTGTGGCACGCACGTATTTCGCTTTCTTCCGCGCTTTTTAGGAACTTTTACGGGTTCTGTGGGTGTTTCTAGGGCAGTGGAACTTGGACTCTTCAGGTGGTTATTGGTACTCCCCATCGATTCTGATGATTCATTCTTAATGGCAAACTTTTCCTCGGATTTGGCAGTCCTTTCTTCGGTTTGCGCATCTGTTTGCGTAGAGGCATCCACTTTTTGGGCCCCGGTTCCACAAGAGCATTGTTTACCCTGATTTGAGATAGCGATCTTATCGCTACTATTACGACCGTTCATGGCGTCGATTACCCGTGAAACCAGAGCTTTATCGGGAATTCGCATGAGTAATCTGAAAATGTCCTCGTAGACGGGCTGGAAGGACTTGCGCTGGATGTAGGTGGTGGTGCCCAGTGGAGCGGGCATGGATATAACCCTGGATATAACTGGAGCAGCTGCCTGTTTGGTCAGCAAAAGATCGGATGTGCCTGATCCAACTGGCTGAATGTGCTGCGATTTCGTTAATAGCACTTTCTTCATCGTGACCGAGTTTCAGAATACTACTCGAGTGTACAATATCTGCCAGCGATAAGATTGCTCTGTTTGCGATCGATTTCGGGGGAATTCCAAGTTTAGATGGATCCAAAATAAATATAAGTTGGTTTTTCCCCAAGACACGCTGCACGGAATGGCAAGGTGGCGACACTCGAGCGCTTTCCAACACTCTTTCTAGGGATGGTCGATAGTTTGGGTGATCAATCGAACTGGAAGAAGAGGTTTTAATATAGTTTAAAAAGGGTAATTTTAATAATATATTTAAAGTTTGAGTTATTTTAATAATAGGTAAAACTATTTGAAAAATACTAATATTTAATTTCAGCACTTACATATTTCTTATAACATTTTTAAATTGTAAAATATATATTTAAAGTTTTTATTTTGTTTTTTCTATTTATTTACTTTTTATTTTTATTTACTTAATTATAAAGGTTTTATTAATTTAATAATGTAAATAATATTACAATTATCTAGGACCATCTCTAGATACTTATAGCTTATCGATATTTCGCTCGCGGTGAATGGCAAAAGGGGGCCTGAGTATTCTTGGAAAGAAAAAAAATACGGTCCGACAAAACGGCACTGGGGATAAATATCCAAATAAGTTATTTTTAAGAAAACTGGAGAGTTCTCAGGCAGGAGCTCTCCAATAAATATTTCCCGGCAATTGGATAAACCATTCCAAGTCGGCAATGGACTCGCGTAACGGGCGCAGCTTCTCTGGGGGGAGTGGCAGTGAAGGGGGTCGGGGCAATAATTACTACAGATCCAGGCCGGGATCCCGATACAGCAGGTCCCGGTCGCGTTCACGGTAAGATTAGATCCCAAAACTATAAGACATTACCTAATAACAAATATAAACCCTTTCCAGTGAGCGGAATCGGGGTTATGGAGGTTTCCGCCAGCGGAATTCTCGCTCGCGAAGTCGGGATCGCTCTCCCACTTTCAGAAACGATCATCGCGGTGGTCGCGGCGGCAATGGTGACCCCGATCTGTACCACAACCTGATCAACGATGACTACCGGGAGGATCAGCGCAACTATAATCCTCGGAATAACTATGATAATCGCCAGTTCCGGCGGGATGATAACTTTGATCGACGGAATCGGGATAGAGATTGTGATAGTGAACGCGAGCTGAATGACTATGAGTACGAGCAGCGCTGTCGGGATTATGATTCCCGGGATCGTAACTCCATAGACAGGGATCGGTTTCAGGAGAGGAGTCACAGCCGGGAGCAAAATAGACCTTGGAACAACAGGAACTTTAATCACGACGACCGCAGCAGAAGCAACGAGCGGAACACGTGAGTGGCTACATAATAATATATTATATATATGTATTTTGCACTGGAACCATTATGGGTGTTATTTTTATCTGAAAGCTTGGCAAAAATAATAATTTTTGGGTATTTTTATTTATTTTTTAACTAACGTAATTTTAAATTATGAATTAATTAAACAAAAAAAAAGCATCGGCATATCTTTGCTTCTTTCAAATGGATTTTTTTTTTAACTTTTTTAAAAATCTCGATACGTTTTGCACAGAATCACTCATATCTGAAAAATTTAATGTATTTTCAGACGCCCGCGAGATAATCGTATGTACAACGGCGGTGGAAGCAGCAATCATAATCGAGAACGGGAAAGGGATTGGGATCAGGACAGGGATCGCCAAAGGGAAAGAAGAGGTTCCTCAGATTACGACAGTGATGAGGGTCACATGCGCAGGAACAAATACAGAGGAACCGCCGAGGCACTCAATATAATTATAATCTTCGGTCTTACCAAGGATATGACGAGAGCAGATGTAATATTAGCTATAAATAATTCTAGAACCCTCTTAATTCTACAATTAATTTATACAGATAATGAGCGAGCTGATCAAGGTGAACATGGAGCCGGCCTGCATTCGGATTATCCGGAAACATGGAACAGGTGGGTTACGATATCACTGACTTTTCACTTGCAGCAAAGACGTGAGTAGGTCCAAAAAGTAATTGCGGAGACGAAACAAGTACCAAAACGATTTTAAACCGGCCACATATGAAACGAAACAGAATTGTTACAAACCTATCGAAACATTCAACATTTTTTGACGAAAACATTTTGTATCTGCTTCTATCCGAAAATTTAGATTCATCACGCGGTATAGCGTTTGTCGAGTTTAACACCGTTGAGGAGGCGAAGCAATGGATGGATATTACACAGGTATCAGCGCAATCGACCAGAAATCCCTTATCCTATCCAAAAGTTAGATATTTCCTTATAATTGCCCAAGGAAGCCGGCACGAGGAGATCGCAAGCGGCTAAAACAACGCGTTACGAAACACAGAAGCAATCCGGTGACTGTGTAGAGTGTGAAAGATGGAATCCTTTCGACAGGTTACTAATCCTCAATCTTTCTTTTTCCTATTTACATGTCTGGCGCTCCAGGGCGTACTAAAATTGAACGATCAGCGGGTGACCATGCAGTATAGTCACAAGAGGATTCAGGATTGGAATTGCAATAAGGTGGGAAGCATCAAAAACCTATACTTTCTACTGAAGAAACTATAATATATTAACCTTTTCAGTGCGGCGTCTGTAACTTCAAGTTTCGATTCTACTGCTTCGTGTGCAAAACCTCCCGGGAAGATAGCGAAACCACCTTTTCCTCGGGCAGCGAGGGCGTGGACGAAGTCAGCAGCATCCTCACCAAAAGTATACATCTCGTTTTGTAGCGTCGATCGCACTGCAAATGAAATGACCACTGACAGCCACGATTTCTCTACCACATTTCCCCCAATCCATGCAGAGATCATGCTGCGCAATCTGGATGCCTTGACCAATGAGGAGGGAGTGCTCACTGCCCTCCAGCAGCACCTGTCGGATCTCAGCAAGACGGTCAGCAAGGTGATCATCAGCAGAGATACCTTGACGCAGGCATCGCGTGGAATCTGCTACCTTCACTTTGACACACTCGTCGATTCCATGAATGTGCACAATGCCCTGACTTCGCTGGATCCTCCATTAACTCTAGACGACAGACTTGGTAAGGTGTTAGAACTAGAGCCCTGCACGAATGGATTCAATGAATTATTTTGAATTTTTTGTTTTATATGGATGAATTAATTACAATTTTGAGTTTAATAGAATTGAATGAGTGAATGGCATGAATTTCGAAATAATTCAAACGACTATTTCTTTTAGAGAAGAAAGGGCCATAATATTGTAATTAAATCTGCTTGAATTTTATTTACTATGCAGTGTACATTGATTTTTTAAAAATTTTCCAGTTTTTGTTCTCAAAAAAAAGCACAAAAAATCTGGCAAATTCAAAAAAATTCATAAAAAATATTCACTCATTTATTCTATTCAAAATTAATTAAAAAAACATTCAATTTATTTCACATAGAATTGAATTAAACAAATCATAAATTTCATGGCATATTATGAAAAAAAAAATCCTATAAGTCACAACTAACTCAACTCTTCATTTCAGTTGCGGTGACCTATTGCAATGACCTGGAGGAACGGCAAGCTCTGCCCAAGGATCCCAAGGGCTCAGCAGTAAAAGCCAGCGAAGCCAGCGTTAAAAGTAGGGATATTTCTGCAGTTCCACCCACCGGATTGGGTGGCAACTACACCCTGGCCGATGTTCCACGCCTTGCCGAGTACAGTGCCTCCCTGTACGCTTCGAATCCCGCGGAGCACGCTCATTACGTCCAGTACTACACGGATTATTACACGGCCGACATTGCGAAGAAGAACAGTGATCCTCAGTTAACCGAGGCCAACTCCGGAGCAGCAGTGGCACTCTCGGCCATCCAGCGCAAGCAGAAGAAGATGAATAGCATCGAGACCACGATCACGGCGGCGGCCACAGCTGCCGCTCAAGCAGCGGCGGAAGTTAAAGCCACATTTGCAGCTGCTCAGGGCGGAGTCACTGCGCCCAGGGGCAACGATGGAAAGACCTACCGTAAGTGTACAATACATACATTAATTACAATCAATTACATTAATTTATTTATGTTTTTCCTACAGCCACTCCCGATGTGACGCAGTACCAGTACGACGAGACTTCCGGCTACTATTACGATCGCTCCACGGGTCTCTACTACGATGCCCACTCGCAGTACTATTACAACAACGAGACGGGCGCATATCTCTATTGGGATCAGAAGAGAAGCACCTACGTGCTGGCCACGCCGGCTTCCACGCAGGCTGCCCTCCAGGAAACCCTCGCTGATGCAGAACAAAAGGAGGAGGAGGCCAAAAAGGCAAGGGAGAAGGAAAAGGACAAGGAGGAGGGAGGCAACAAGCACGACAAAGTCAAGGTGGCCAAGAAGATTGTCAAGGACATGGAGAAGTGGGCCAAGCAGCTTAACCAGAAAAAGGATTACACGGCGGTGGCCACGCCGCAACCAATCCTGGGAAACGAAGGACCCACCACCTCGCGGGGAAATCAAGGAGGATACGCTGATGTGGGCTTCTCAATACTCGAGAAAAAGGAGCGGGGAAAGCTCAATGAATATGCGCCACAGGCGCAGGTTCCGGGTCCAATGAATAAGCTTGTAAATGCCTATGGCGGAGCATCGGACTCTGAGGAGGACAGTGCTCAGAATTTCCAAAGCTCACAGACTGCAGCGGGATCAGGAGGAGGTCCAGCTGGAGGCGGAGGCGCCAGCGAGTCGGATTACGTGGATTTCCAGAAGCTAACCTGTCTGCTTTGCAAACGTGCCTTCCAATCGCTGGATATATTGCAGAAGCACCTGAAGATGTCCACGCTGCACAAGGAGAACCTGGCCAAGCTCAATCAAAATACAGCAGGAGATGCTAGCATTGATGAGGCACTGTCGTAAGTGGAAATAGTTGCTAAAATGATGAATACCCAATTAATTTAAATATTTTTCCTTAGTTACCGTGACCGAGCCAAGGAAAGAAGGCTTAAATACGGCGAAAGCGATCCTCCTCCGCCCAATCGCAGCAGGGAGCGCTTTGAGCAGGAAATAAAGACCTTGCAGACGCGACAGAAGGATCCTTCTGGTGCTGCTCCCGCCATGCCCATCAGTTCGAGCAACGTGGGCAGTCGTCTGCTGCAGAAGATGGGCTGGTCGGAGGGTCAGGGACTGGGCAGGAAGAACCAGGGACGCACTCAGATTATAGAGGTAAAATGAGAAAGTTTTTACCAAAATAAACCCATACTAATTTCCATTATTTATCCCTTAGGCCGACGGACGATCCAACAATGTGGGTCTGGGCAACAAGTCGGCTGGACACATGATGCCGGGCTACGACTACAAATCCTACATCAAGATGAAGATGAAACAGCGCTATGAGAATGTCTGAGAATAGGCACTTAATATTTACAGCCGTTTTCACATGCTCCTTTTTAACTAGAATTTAGCTCAAAACTTAGAACTTTATTAGCATATTATATATGAAACTTCTTGAGAATTTTTTTCCTCTTCGGAAAATGTGAAATCGGCCTTTTAGATAAGATTTTTATAGTTTGAGTTATGATTAAGCTAATTCATATCCTCATTTGATTGTACAATAATAAACCTAACGTCTAAATATTTGAATTCCATTTTTATCGATAACTGTCAGGGGGTACTTTTAGGTGAACGGCAAGAGGAGGCAATCGATAACTGTCAGTCGGTACTTTCGGGTGAACGGCAAAGGAGGCCGAGATTTTTTCTATTCGTGTTTTTTTCTGCCCGTATAGCTCTATTGTTTCTGTTTCAATGAGCAGAGACTTGCAGAATTGGGAACAAGTTTAACCAGATCTCGCATCCTGTTAGAAACGTGGTGAACAAGTAAGATGTGCACTTTAACGCGGCTCAACTAAATGGCAAATGGCCAAAAACGCATACAGACTGAATATAATTACCATCGATTCGCATTAGATACGCGTAGAATGGATTCTCGATATGGTCGCAGCTTCTCGGGAGGCAATGGAAATGGAAATGGCAACGAGTCGGGCTATAGACGGTATACTCGATCCCGTTCCCGATCCAGGTGGGAAAAGCGTCCTTTCCTAACTCAAAAACATATGTTACTTATAGTAATCGATTCCTATTGTATTTTTCAGGGAGCGTAGTCGGGATCGTAATGAGTACAGACGTCGCAATTCCCGTTCTCGCAGTCGCGAGAGATCCTCGCACTATAGACACGATCGCAGTCCTGATCGTGATCTCTATCGCGATCTGATCAACGATGATTACGAGGATCAGGGCAGCTATAGCTCGAGGAGCAACTTTGATCATCGTCAGCATCGCAGCGAGGACAACTACGATCGCCGGGATCATGATAACTATAACAATCATAATCGCAATGAGCAGAACAACTACGATCAACGTAGTCAGGATAAATATGACAATGATCGCGATCATCGCTGGAAGAATTACGATCGGGAGTCGAAGGATCGCAACTATGATGACTATGATAGAGGATCTGAGCGCAGCAGGTGAGAAAGTATAGGAATAGGAAAAGTAATGGGGAAAAATTCTAGAAAATTCAGAGAGAAAAATCTTCTTATCTTTCCATAGTATCTAAGTAAACAATTGTTAATTTAAATCAACGAAATATGTGAAAGTAAAAATCTTGAACCATTTAAGAAAATTATCATATTCCTACCTAGTATTGTGTCTAAAAGTCCGCGTGAATGCATACAAATTGACGTATGAATTATTCATGCTGGTTCTACTGAATTCAGGGGAATGTATACATTACTTCAATTAAACGAATTCAAATTAAATGCTATATAGAGAGAATTTTCATGAATAAGGTTAACTAATTCCCTTTATTTATATTTTCAGTCGCAGTGGTGACCATCGGCAGTATAATAATAATGGAAACGGAAACTCAAACAGCAGCAATAGAGATCGGGAGAGGGAACGCGAACGCGAAAGGCAGTATTCCTCGGATGAGGACAGCGACATGGCCAATGAATTTAAGCAGAGAGGCGGTTATCATAGCGGCGCCAACGTGGAACCGCTAAACAACATAATCCTCTTCGGTCTGAAGAAGCACGTCACGGAGGCAGACGTAATATTAAAATTATAATTACCCCGATTAAGCAAATAACTCTGTAATCCCCCACAGATCATGGGCGAGCTGATCAAAGTGGATATGGAACCCAGTTCCATTCGCGTGATGAGGAAACAGCCGACAGGTGGGTTACATTTCCGCGTTTTATATACGATTTAGAGTGAAAATAAAAACATAGCGTGAGTATTGCGTGCCCAGCAAAATGTTCGGAAAACGGATTTAATACAAAATTCAATTATACTTGGCTTACGACATCAGCAACAAAATTCCACAAAAAATAGAAATATATAGAAAAATACAAACTGAATACCCAAAAATGTTACAAATGCTATTAAAACAACCAACAACATTTTTTGACAAAAACATTTTCGTATCTGCTTCTATCTAAAATTTAGGTGCCTCACGCTGTTTTGCATTTGTCGAGTTTAAAACCGTTGAGGAGGCGAGACATTGGATGGAGTTAACCCAGGTATCACCACAAACCACAAGAAACATGAATCTTCTTGAAACTGCCAAACAAAAAAAAGAGAAAATGGCATCCGAACTTGGCATCAACTGTACAGAAATCAAAGTCTTGAGTTCAGTTCTCCTGAATAAAGTTTCTCCTATAAATCAGATTGTATTCCAAAAGAGGGAACTGAACTCAATGCCAGCATTTCACGCAAAGGAGTCAACCTGCATCTGCGACAACCGCGCGTTGCCCAAAAACACAGAAGCAACCTGGTGACTGTGTAGTCTGTGAAAGCTATGATTAGTTGTTGACCAAGTGCAGTTACTGATCCACTTTTCCCCTCTTCTCTTTTTCCGCACAGGGAGTTCTCCAGCTGGGCGACCACCGTGTATCCATGCAGTATAGCCACACACGCATCTCGGATTGGACCTGTGTTAAGGTGAGTAATCAGAAGTTATCAGTCGGAAAGAAATCCTTAATAAATATTTTATCTTACAGTGTGGTGCCAGCAACTTTAAGCGCCGCTTCCAATGCTTCATGTGCAGCTCCTCGCGGGCGGAAAGCGAGAATGCTCTTTCCGGAGCCGGCGAGGGCGTCGACGAGATCAGCCGCATCCTGACAAAAAGTATACCCACCATGAGCAATATCTTTCAATGCCGTTTTCCTAGCTAGCCAATCAGCTAAATACCCCACTAACCTGCCACACGCTTTCCCCATGCAGAGATCATGCTACGCAACTTGGACGCGCTGACAAACGAGGAGGGCGTGCTCACTGCCCTCCAGCAGCACCTGCCCGAACTGGCAAAAACAGTCAGCAAGGTGCTGATCAGTCGCGACTCTTTAACCCAGGCATCTCGGGGCATTTGTTACCTAAACTTTGACACACTCGTCGATTCGATGAATGTGTTTAATGGGTTGACGGCGCTGGATCCGCCACTCACACTGGATGACAAAACTGGTAAGGGGTTATTTTCTACTAGAGCCCTGCGTGAATCATTTAATTTTTGTTTTATCATAAAATTCCATGAAATTTCTGATTTGTTTAATTCAATTCTATGTGAAATAATTTGAAGGTTTTTCTAATTCATTTCGAATTGAATGAATGAATGAAGAATTTTTTATGAATTTTTTGAATTGGCCAGATTTTTTTTTCTTTCTTTTGAAAACAAAAAGTGGAAAATTTTTAAAAAATCAATGTTAACTGCATAGTAAATAAAATTCATGCAGATTTATTCATAAAATTATGCCTCTTTCTTCTTCAAAAGAAATTGTCGTTTGAATTATAAAACTCAAAATTCAAATTCATTCAATTCTATTAAACATAAAATTCCAATTAATTCATTCATATAAAACAAAAAATTCAAAATAATTCATTGAATCCATTCATGCAGGGCTCTACTTTCTACATAGTCAAACTTTTACTATACTAACAATAATCCTCCCATTTCAGTTATCGTCACCTACTGCATGGATTCCGAGAATCGTCAAATGCTGCCATCAGACTCAAATGCCTCTCGAGCCAGCGGAGCAGCGATGCCAGCGATGTCTGGAGTGAGTGCAGCCTACACGCTGGCGGATGTTCCTCGTCTTGCCGAGTACAGTGCCTCTGTGTATGCCTCCAATCCCGTGGAGCACGCTCATTACGTGCAGTACTATACGGATTATTACACGACTGAAATAAGCAAGAACATGGGGGATCCGCACATGACTGAGGCCAATTCTGGAGCAGCGGTGGCGCTGTCGGCTATTCAGCGTAAGCAGAAGAAGGTTGGCTCAATGGAAATGGCGACTTGTAGTGTGCCCGAGGCGAAGGCCGCCTTTCTTGCTAGGGGAGCAAGTGCTCCTAGGGGTAACGATGGAAAGAAGTATGGTAAGTTGATAGATAATGGGTCATAATTAGACCTCGGATTGTGCATATTTGTCCATTTTTGGTCAGATTTTTACCAACATTTCTAGGTAGGTGTCATATTTTAAATATATGCAAAATATATGCCAACAACTGGAGGCTCAAATTTTTAATGCAGCTCTCTGGTATTCTAAGGAACCTTCAGTAAACACGGCGAGCAATTTAAACGAGCAGCTTGGCCGATAGGGCCAAAAACTATTCTGCCCATTTTACTATTACTCGTTTGAGATATAAATAGGGTTTCCTTAAATTTGGAAAAAATTAGATATCTCAGAAATGACGAAAAGGAACAAACAATTTTCTTCGGGTAAATTAAGTTGGCTACGAAATGGTCAATCTTGAATAGTTGAGTTTATATTATATTTTGCATATTTATTTATTTATTTATATAAAGCTAACTTACAGTGTAAAACTATGAGCTATCTGAAAGTTTTAGAGCGCTAGTAACTAAGGCTTTCGGCTCGACTGTATATTTGATTGAGGGACAGTTTTCTTAAATGGTATGTGCTAAATTATTATTTTGCATATTTTATGCTGTTGCATTTTATGCACATATGCAAAAATTGAAACGAACTTTGGTGTTTTCGGAATTTATCTATCTTTATCTTTATAAATATGCAAAATCCGAGGTCTACTTATTAGTGATTATAACTGTGATACTGATCCTTGAATTTTTTTGCCTTCAGCCACTCCCGATGTGTCCAAGTACCAGTACGACGACACCTCCGGCTATTACTACGACCACATTACGGGTCTCTACTACGATGCCCACTCGCAGTATTACTACAACAACGAAACGGGTGCGTATCTCTACTGGGATCAGAAAAGAAGCACCTATGTGCTGGCCACACCCGCTTCCACCCAGGCGGCGCTCCAGGAAGTTATAGCCGATGCCGAGAAGAAGGAGGAGGAGGCCAAGAAAGCCAAGGAGAAGGAGAAAGAGAAGGAGGAGGGAGGCAAGCCCGACAAGGTCAAGGTGGCCAAGAAGATTGTCAAGGACATGGAGAAGTGGGCCAAGCATTTGAACCAGCGAAAGGACTACACGGCAGTGGCCACACCGCAGCCCATCCTGTCGGAAAATGAAGCTCCCAGCACGTCGCGTGGCAACCAAGGAGCCTACGCTGATGTGGGATTCTCGATCCTGGAGAAGAAGGAGCGTGGCAAGCTCAACGATTACGCACCACAGGCAGCACTGCCGGCGATCAACAAACTGGTCAACGCGTATGGAGGGCCATCGGACTCGGAGGAGGACAATGCTGGGGGCTCACAGAATTTGCAGACAGCCGTTCGAGGCGCTGCCGATGAATCGGACTATGTGGACTTGCAGAAGCTCACCTGCCTGCTCTGCAAGCGTGCCTTCCAGTCGCTAGACATCTTGCAGAAGCACTTGAAGATGTCCAATCTGCACAAGGAGAATCTGGCCAAGCTTAAGCAGAATTCTGGAGGAGGGGCTGCCATAGATGAGGGATTATCGTAAGTGTTGATGTGTTAGAATGATGAATACCCTATTGATTTAATTATATTTACCCAGTTACCGTGACCGAGCCAAAGAAAGAAGGCTTAAATATGGCGAGAGTGATCCTCCGCCGCCCAATCGCAGCCGAGAGCGCTTCGAGCAGGAAATAAAGACTTTGCAGACGCGGCAGAAGGATGCTTCGGGAGCAACGCCAGCCATGCCCATCAGTTCGAGCAACGTGGGCAGTCGTCTGATGCAGAAGATGGGTTGGTCGGAGGGTCAGGGACTGGGCAGGAAGAACCAGGGACGCACCCAGATCATAGAGGTAGAAAGAGGAAGTTTTTCCCTAAATCAACGTATAGTAATTTCCATTATTTTTTCCTCAGGCTGATGGTCGCACCAACAATGTGGGTCTGGGCAACAAGTCCGGAAACATGCAACCTGGCAACGACTACAAATCCTACATCAAAAAGATGATGAAGCAGCGTTACGAGAACGCCTGAGACTTCTTTTAGACATGTACCATTTAATTCCGCTTAGAAATAGGAGCATTTAGGCATTGTTTACCTCAACTACACTACCACCACCACCTTATTGCGCTCATTTAGCCATACTTGCGAAGTTAACATGTAAATAGTTCGTGAATAAAGTCTCAAATTAGATTTGATTTAATGCTGATAAGTGTAAAATGTAAATTAATCTAGATCTCATCCATGTAGCCATGCTCGTAGGCATGACGCACTATCTTGAAGATCTCCTCGTTCGCCTCGTCCCCGGCAATGTCCATGGACAACTGATGGAAGGCGGGACCATGCATATCCGTATCGAACAAGCGAGATAACTCGGCGCAATCCTTCTCATTGCCAAGCAACCAGGGAAGGAAATGCATGCAGACCAAGGCTCCATAGAACGCGTAACGCTTAAAGTGGCCATTAAACCGTTCAAAGCTGTATTCCTTGAGCAGCTCAGCCCCCCGATCGTCGGTCAACTCATCCTGGTTGCGTCGCAGCACAAGCTCCAGCATCTGGATCATATGGGAATGGTACTTGCGCAGCAATTCTGCGTAGATTTCCTCCCTTCCCTCGGATGCCGTGTTCATGTACAGGAAGAAACTAAGGTCAATTGCAGTGGTGCTGAAGCGCAGCTCCTGGAAATCAATAGCTTTGATGCCATCCACCTTGTCATCCGCTCCGTAGTGGAATAACACATTGTTCCTATTGTAATCGCCGTGCAGGAAGGTGGCAAAATGGCTATCCGCTTGATCCGCGGCATAGGAATTGGTGCGAATCCACTCCAGCAATTGAGTGGGCTGCTTGAAGTACTTCTCCCTCAAACGCTCGATGGCGGCACCGAATCCGGGATCCGTATCCTTGAGGAGCTGCTCCTTCTGCCGGTCGTAGAACTCGTAGAATCGATCAAAGGCCACGCGATAGAGGACATCAAAGATGGCCTTTCCTGATTCGGAAACAAAGGGCATGTCCACCACGCCGGCACGCAGACGAGCATGAACCTGCGGCTGGAGGATTCTAGTGGCGTAGCCGAGGGCATGGAAGGGACCAATTAGACCCACCATGGCCTCCAGATGATCCCGACGAAGGATGAGCCTGGGACCCAACTGGTAGCCATCGTTTTTTAGATGCTTCAGGGCCAAAACGGATTCCCGGCCGTTGGAGAGACCTATATAAAAACCAAACAAGAGTTAGTAAAGGATGAGGAGAGGAAACCTTAGGATGACCCACCTTCCACCTGACCAAACCTGGCAAAGTAGCACCTAGGAACCCAGTTAGACACCACCTCACTCTCCAGATGACTTGTCCTCAAAACATTCTCATACGCCGGCAGTATCTCCGCATAGGCAAAGATCTCGTTGGCAAACTGGATGTACGAATTGCTGCTCTCCCGGAACTCCTCCGTTCCCTTCATGAACTTGACCAGGACGACCTCTGTCCTCTTGCGCTCCCGAATGACCAGTTCCAGAGTTACAGTGTACAAGGCGGACATGAAGCCATCCAGCCCATTGGAGCACTCCACTTTGTGGAACTCTAGCGAAGCTTCGGGACCAAAGTCCTTGAAGATATCGTACACCAGGTGGCGTTCAATGAAGTCCAATTGCTCCTGTTGCGTTGACATTTTGACCACGTTTGAGGGCAGGAATCAATGGAAACCCGGTTAATATAGACCCCTTTAATCAAGATACACGTAAGCCCGCCCTCTAAATTGTCCGGACAAAGTAATCAATGTGGTATCGATACCATCGAGTACTCAGTTTTTGTTATTCACACCGAAATCCGATTGGCAAAAATTCGATATATCGAAAGTGCCATCGATAGTATCCCAGCTCTATTGAAAACGTGCACCGGCTTTATTTTTTATTCCCGGTAAACATAAGATATTCCTAGGGTTTAATAGAGGATATCCATAAGTTAATGACTCCCAGCAAGATTCCTCCGCTGACCTACAAGGTCGTGGCGGAGTGCTCCGTCTCCAAGGCCAGGGCGGGATTAATGACCCTCAGGTGAGTGGTTCCATATAGTAAACCCCTAGAACCTCTGACTAATCCACTTTACAATACCCACTAAACAGGCACAGTGAGGTGAATACTCCCGTTTTCATGCCCGTGGGCACTCAGGGAACCCTTAAGGGCATCCTGCCGGACCAGCTCATCGAACTCAACTGCCAAATCCTGCTGGGAAACACCTATCATCTAGGATTACGACCTGGAATTGAAACCCTAAAGAAAGCCGGTGGCCTCCACAAGTTCATGGGTTGGCCGAGGGCTATCTTGACCGATTCCGGTGGCTTCCAGATGGTTTCCCTGCTGCAGCTGGCCGAGATCGATGAGCATGGAGTGAATTTCCGATCACCCTTCGACAACAGCCAATGTATGTTGACACCAGAGCACTCGATTCAAATCCAGAATGCCATCGGTGCGGATATTATGATGCAGCTGGACGATGTGGTCAAGACCACGACGACGGGTCCCCGCGTGGAGGAGGCCATGGAGCGGACCATTCGCTGGGTGGATCGCTGTATAGAGGCACATGCCCGCGACGATGATCAGTCGCTGTTTCCCATTGTCCAGGGAGGATTGGATGTGCCGCTGCGACAGCGTTGCGTATCCGCTTTGATGGAGCGACAGGTTCGGGGATTTGCCGTGGGCGGATTGAGTGGTGGCGAGAGCAAACACGACTTCTGGCGGATGGTGGACGTGTGCACGGGTTACCTGCCCAAGGATAAGCCGCGTTACTTGATGGGCGTGGGCTTCGCAGCTGATTTGGTGGTCTGTGTGGCCCTGGGTATCGATATGTTCGACTGTGTCTTTCCCACCCGCACAGCTCGCTTTGGTTGCGCCTTGGTGGACAGTGGACAGCTGAACCTGAAGCAACCAAAGTACAAACTGGACATGGAACCCATCGACAGGGATTGCGAGTGCAGCACCTGCAAGCGGTACACCCGCTCGTATCTGCATCACATCGCCACCAATGAGAGTGTCTCCTGCTCGCTGTTGAGCATCCACAATGTCGCCTATCAACTGCGACTGATGAGAAGCATGCGGGAGGCAATTCAGCGGGACGAGTTCCCTCAGTTTGTCCAGGACTTTATGGCGAGACACTTTAAGGGAGAAGCCATCCCGGCTTGGATAAGAGAAGCTCTGGCAGCTGTGAATATCCAATTGCCGGCGGATCCGGAGGGGGAAAGTAAGGAGGAGCCAAAAAAAGAGAAGAGGCAGGAGGCGGAGGTTGTGACCGAGGAGCAGATGGCCACCAGCTAACATCATGAATGTTTGGACTATCTAAAGTTCTGATAACCTTAAAGAGGCATTTGTGTTGAGGAACTGATTTTTCATCAACACTTTTTAATACCTTGAAGACATTTAATTTACATGACAAATATCATGTATTTGTATTTAGTATAGGCAAAACACTTAATAAAACTATAAGAATAAAGTCAAAACAAACTGCAATTGAATCTATATAAAATAAAAAAAAATTTACAAACCAAAAAAATTCGACTGAAATAAAAAAAATTATTATAAACAAAAAATTTTTTTATATTTTAATACTTTTTGAACATTTTTGTCACAAATGAATCTTTAAAAATTTGTAATTTTTCCGCATTGCCTTTTAAACTGTTTTTTGCATAAATTTGTATGTCTTAAATATTCATTTCATAACTTAAAAACTCCTCTATATCCGAATAAAGGGTATACAAAAATTAATATTATTAACAATAAAATTTGTTTTAAAAAACTTTTTGATATTTTGATACTTTTTGAACAATTTTGTCAAAAAAAATCTTTAACATTTTGTAATTTTTTCGAATTGTTTTTGGGCTGTTTATTTGCACACATTTTAAAGTTTGAAATATTTATTTCAAAACTTAAAAAATGATCTATACCCGAATAAAGGGCATAAGAATACTGGTTTTCGGTTCTGCTTTGCCTACGTTTTTTCCGCTCTTGCCGTGAAGCTTTTGTTTTACCTATGGGAAAAAGCTACAAGTAGCTATAGTATGATGACGCATATCGGTGGCGATCGTGGATCTCGCGTGGAACGGCCGTTTTTGATATTGTACTTGATTTTCGCCTATTTCCACGACTTCTGTCTCGATCGTACTTAGGGTACATGTGTGGTAAATAAAAGAAAAAACAAAAATCGGATCGTTAAGAAACCTCTCACTTTTAATTCGGGTCTCTCGGCTGCTCATTCTCTCTGCTGTTTTCGGGGGATATCTTTTTTGTAGGCTCTCCGGGGGATCTCGATTCGAGATACGAGGTTCGAGATCCGCGATCCGAGAGAGCGGGAGCGCGAGATTGGGGCAAGTGGAGCGGTGGTGGCGGTGGTGCTGGTGGTGCCAGTCGGTGGTGGATCAGTTCAGTGAGTCCCCAAGCGTTGTCGCATCCACTTTATCGCGTTCTTTTCGCGGATTCGCACCCAACAATAACTAACGGTTTTGCTGCACGCATCTGGCGGCAAATTGGCAGCGAGAAGCCCGCGCTAATAATACATTTTTGAAATTGCCAAATCGGAGGATCTTCCATCCATATCAAGCATACGCCCAATCATCCAATCAATTGTAAGGAGTCCCCCAAAATGTATTATTGGTTTTTCAATGACAATTAATCACGGACTTGCAGTGCGTGTGTGTGTGTGAGTGAGTGCTGGAGTGACTATACATCTGTGTGTGTGTTTTTTGCCTCGTATCGTTAGCCAAATGTGGTAAAAGCAAAAAATAAAAAAAATATATTCGAATTCGTATACCCAGACATACAAACCATAAACAATCGTGCCTTGTAATCCGTGCTTTTTATGGCTCGGTCGCCTTTGTTTATCGCCAGGATTTCACTTTGGAGTGGCCCAGAAGTCAAAAACCGAAAGAACCCTTATATAAAGTATACGCCAAGTATATCTGCAAAGTCCAAAAGTGATTTTTCCGCTCATTTTATTATTTATATTTTTGTATTTGCCATCGTTTTTCGCTATGGCCTGTGTGTTTTTGAATTTTCATGGTTTCATTTCTTTAAATAAGTTTTATTTTTAGCACTTTTAGTTATTTTTGTGTATATGTTTTTTTTTCTGTTCTCACCAATTTTGCTGCTGCCCAGTTTGCCTGATTATTTTTCGAAATTTTCATGCCGATTCTTTGGAATATTCATGGGCTTTCTACTCTGTGTACACACAATGTGTGAAAAGATTTGTGTTTGAAATTCGGTTAAGTTAAAGGTGCACATAGGGTGGACCAAAAATTAAGGAAGACCTCGGGGGAAAATAAGAAAACTGTATAGGTTTTAGAAGGAAATACAAAATTCCAAAGGGACACAATTTCAGTAATTCAAAATTACTTTGCTTTTCAAAAACGAGAAATGGAAAATATCTTAATTTTAAACCCATAAATAAACTCTTCAAATACTCTCTTTATTTTTCGTGGTCAAGTCTGCTTTTTATAGTCATTTTTTGGTCTCTGCTATTGCCTCATTTTTCAAACACTCAAATTTTGTTGGCCACAATTCATAAATAAAAAGTAAACACACAAGGCAACCGATTATGATTGAAGGCGCATAGAAAAATAAAGATTTGGCCTCCAAAAAATCATACAAATGGTCAATAGCACAATAAAGGCGAAAAGCCAAATGGCAACAAATTACCACCAGAGAGTGTAAAAAATAAAAGAAAATTTTAATGATTGCTGCTAATCATAATCACACTAGAATTTGTCAGTTCGTACCGTTAGTGGACTGTTGGCTCTTCGGTTTTTGCCTAGTATTTATAAATTATGACACATTCGAGAGTAGCAAAGAGATCGAGAGAGCGGGGTCTTCAGCTTTTTTTTTCTGTTCGAGGAGTGGAACCATGGGTAATACTCTTTGAACAGCTGCTGGGTGGGCGGCAGCCAGAAGGGGGCATGGCCCCCAGTATTGTTTTGATGGTCGTTGAGCCGCAAAACACATGCAAAATTCGTCATTTTTTTTCGCCACCGAGAGTGAGAGAGAAAAAAGAAGAAGAGCTGGTGGGGCAATTAAGCAAAGTAATTATGGGGAAAGGAAAACACAAGGAAATACACTTTCGCGCTTTTGTTTTTGCAATTGATTAATTTCATTCTTCTCTGTCGTAAAGCTAAAAAAAGCCTGCTTTAATTATATAAATTAATGAACGCTTTTTATATGAGCGGAAATTAAAATACGGCTTATCAATCAATTAAAAACATTCAAAAGAGCTAACCACTAAGTTAAAAGTTAATTTTAAAATACAAATATTTTACAAAAAAATGTCTAAAGAATTTTATTAAATTTAATTCTTTTTGATTTTATTCATTTTTCTTAATTTTTTTTACGAATAGATTTAAAAATAAATTTAATAACAATACAGAAAAAATATAAATCAAAATAAATGTTACTTTAAAGCGTATGATAACTTTGATAAACTCGATAAATTTATTTCTTTCTGACTAAACTATTTTCCTTTTTTTTGCTCACCATAAAACCTTGTATTGTCCAAACAATTCTATTAAAAGCTTTCCATTTATGCTTTCAATTAAATATCATTTGCAACAACATTTTAATCAATATACCAAACAAAATCAAAAACAATTTCCGCACAAACAACATTTATTCTAACCAGCTGAAACGAGTTTTTCATTTTCATCGTCGCATGCAAATTTTCGGTGAGACAAAAATTCAAATTCAAATATCTTCGTATACAATATGTTCGCTCTAATAGTTATTCTATGCAAATCGGTTGTTTGCCTTTTGCATTTGTTTTTGTTACGCCGAAACCGAAAATAAACGGAAATGGAATATTTGCCTGCATATTTTGTTGCTCAGAAATCAATGCTCTTAGCAAATTAGTATGAAATTCCTGTGTAAACAGAGGATCATCCATCTGCAAAGATAAACCACGTCGAAAAAAAGTGTATTACCCAACCTCATGCAAATCACTGTCTAAATTGCTGAATGCTGATTCATTTTGGCCAAAACGCACAAAAAAATTTCTCCAAAATCGAAAATGTTTGGCTGATGATTGTGTGGGAGATTTTACTGTACGTCCAAAGGTAAACCCGCTTAGTCATTGGACCTATTTTTGCATCAGATTTGCGGCTTAGAAACACCCACCCCAAAAGTATTGATAATTTGCCGGAATCTTTCGTTGGTTTTCTTTTTGGTCATCTAATGCTGCTTTGCCTAAACGATTTGCTTCGGTCATGGCAACTTTTTCGATTCTTGCCGTACTCGTTTTTCTTCATTTTTTTTGTTTATTTGTTAGATTTTTGGCAACTTTTTGTCGAGTGTGGGTGAATAAACTTCACGGTGTTTGATCAGTTTTTGGCTGATTTCGATTGGCACAAAACAAAAAAATCTATTGGGTTGACAATGAATGGGTTTTGCTGTTGACTTTGAAAAAGAGAAATAGCACAAACAAAACAGATTTTTGTGTTCGCTTCTTTGAGAGCGAGAGTGAATGGCTGGAGTTGAATGAGAGTCAGGGGACCAAAAGTTTTGACAACCTTGAAACACTAAAAATATTATGGTGTAATACCAAATAATCAATTGGTCATGGAAAGGTACACAAAATTTAAAATTTGGTAACAGATGGTAAATAAAGTTAATGTAGAAATTTATTTGGCTTGCATTATAAAACATTATTTAAATAATAACAAAATATTTAAAATTTTTGGATAATATTGAACGCATTTAAGTGCATTTAAAATGGCATACGATTCTATAGTTAATGAAAATATATATATTTATTTATTTTATCAATCAACGTGCATCAATTAGCTGTGGCCTAAATATTTGATCTATAGATCACCCATAGGTATTGGTATTGAGTTCATTTAACCAAGTTGACTGTCGCATTAGTAACCGATTTTATCAGCAATATCAGGCCCCCAGCCATACGACTTTGATCTCCAAAGCAATAAATAACAAATTTGAATAGCCCAAACATAAATCACTCTTTCAATTTGATATTCGTTTATTATTAAATCTCGTTTCTTTTAATCTTATTTCTCCACCTCTCACTTGGTTTTTTTGGACATGTGAGCATTAGTTGGGAATACGGGCAAAAACGAGACACAAAATGGGAATTAAAGTTGCCGAGTCGAGGCATTAATAAATCAAGTTCAATTCAATTAGTGCAATCCGGGGACGACACAAACAATTTTCCCGAACATTTCCCCCCATCGCTTGGCCTCTCATAACCTACGACAATTTATAATGTTGCGCAGAAATGGAAAGAAATTCAAATGCAAATTTTGCAAACAAAATGACAATGAAAAACGTTGAAAAAGCAATTCACTAATAATGCAGTATGCGAGTATCCAATAAATTGTT